GAGTTTATCACAGGCAAAGAAAAGTCTCTTCAAGGTTCACAGTGTAGTTGAATATCGTTCATCATCAGGTAATTATTCAAAAAAATTTAGTTTGCCTGGTAACTTAATCAACATTAAAAAAATACACCTTAATTAACTATTAAGCTAAAAAATATTATCTTAAAATATGTCAAGTATAAACATACTTAAACTGTTCTATGCAAAATTATGTATTATATCAAAGGCATAAATTAAAGGAAGTGGTCAAAATTAGTGTAGTTGATGACCGCATGATGACCCACCTTGACTAGGGCTGGTAGGGCTGTGCACAATCTCAACTGATTCTTCAAAGTGCTTCACAAATCAGTCTGCAAGAATTCAAAAATAGAAAAGAAATAAAAGCAAAAGTATTCTTACCACAAGGGACTACATAAAGGTATTAAAGTGCATTTAAAAAGTTGTTTTTCTTGTAAAGAAAAACACCTTGAGAAGTATAAAAGTAATACTGGCAAGTGGCAACTGCATGTAACTGTGGGGATTTGTGTAGTACTGTGCAATGCATGATAAGGTCATAATATACTACCCAGTTAATGACATATTAATAATTTTAGTGAAGGGCTAATGTTTTCACGTAAATAACTAACCTTTCTATAGGCGAATCTTCACTGATGTCATTAATTTTATTGTCTACATTTTTTGCTCATTAGCATATGAGTTAACCCATCATAAACAGAAGGCATCACTGTATGCACAAATTAAATTCAAGAGTTGATAGAGATGGTTAACTTAAGCAATTTGTGCAATTTTCAGTTCTAACAGCAATAACACAGGAAATAGCAGCCACGGAAAACTAAAAATGGTTGGGACTGGCAAAAACGTTAATAAGGGTGGGCATAAATTCTATGCAGAGTTTCAAGTTTTTTTGAAAAAATAATTTCTCCAAAAGTTTTTGTTATTAATCGGGGCTCAAATTTTCACAGATACAGTCAAACAGCCCCTTTATAGACACCCACTAATTAAAATTATTATAATACGGTCACTTCATTACTAAGGACAGGTGGTTTTGTCCCTATGGAAAGACAGCCCCTATGTTGCCTGTAAATTCAACCCACTTAATACAGACACTCTCTATGGCCCCTTCAGTGTCCATATCAATGGTGTTTGACTGAAACTGTGGGTTGTTATGCTCTTTTATTATACATCAGACTCACTATGAAAAATCTGATTGGTCGAGAGCATTCAATCAATTCACAATAGCTTGTGAACTTGACATGATTTATAAATGCAATATCTGCTGCAGATATTGCATTTATCATGTCAAGTTCAGAAACAGAATGGCTGAACGCTTTGCTTCTGTTTCTGAGGATGAATTATGTCGATTAATAAGGATTTTTCTATTTTAATGTATACTTTATTCAGACAAAGGTTTTATTATTGTATTTTAAAATTTTTAAATGATCTTGGTTAAGCTTATCAGTGTCACTTTCACCTTAGTTTTGAAATAAAGCCATTTCTCAACAGATGAATGTCTTCTTTTGCCTATTGTTCAAAAAATGTATAATACGTGACACTACCTCGTGTCTGTATTATCTGCCTCAGCCTTCGGCTTCGGCAGATAACACAGACCTCGGTTTTGATAATTCATGATATCATGCTCAACCTCATCCAATAATTGTTTATTGATATTCAGACAGTTTATTTTAATAGCTTGATCAGAGAATGAAAAGCATATGCTAATGAGGCAAACACTGTAAACAATGATTTGCTTCTAGCTGACCACAAACTCTCATGCTCTGCTAAAATGCTCACAATATATAAATAACCAAAGCTTAAAAGATATATGACCTGTCTTACCTCATTTTGGGCTACTATTAAGTGACCATGACTAGAAATATATATTTACTACTGTATCATTTCAGGACCACTAGTTGAAAGTGTTATACTGGGCAATGTGTACGTAATGGATATACTTAAAAGACGTTTGGACACAAGTTATTACAAGAATGTTCAAAATTGGCAACACTTGGCCCACCGTCAGAACGTCCCAACAGATATGATCATGAAGCTGACAGGCCAGTCTCCAGCAAGCCGATCTGAGTCACTGTTTGAGTTGCTAGAAACAAGAAATCCTGATCTCACCATTGGAACTCTGAAGTTTCACCTCAATTGTCTAAAAAATATGGGAAATGTTGCAAAATGCATAAGTGATCTTGAAGGTATCTAAAATGCAGTGCCAGCTTTAAAGTAAAAAACAAAATAGGAAGATATTATGCTAGGTCATCTCACTAAGTCCTGGTTCAAGCTTACCCCTATTCAAACCCCTCAGCTCTACTACATGCACATACCCCGTAGCCAACTGAGCAAGAAGACACCTGCATGACTGAAAATTATTAGCAAAGTATAAGCCATGCACTCTTAGCAGTGCTGGATCTAGACCTTGAGATAAGAGGGGGGGGGACGGTCATCCAGACCCTTAGATAAGGGGGGGCGGTCTCCAAAAAAAATTTTATCGGCCCTTCGGGCTTCAGTTTGGTCTGAAAATAAGGGGGAGCCCGGGCCCCTTCCCTGGATCCGCCACTGCTTAGGACCTTTCTCTGTCATCAATCCAGTTAGGGGGTGGGGGAGGGGTGATTTTGGGAGGATGTTGCTCAGTAATTCTCACTCATAAAATACATACCACTTTCCACCATTTTTTTTCCCTGAAATCTAATACGTAGCTTAGCTTTCTTTTTCCAAAGAAAGGCAAGGGGATTTAGTAGTGTACGTACTGCTGTACTTGTACCTAAAAAAACCTCACCCATTTACAGCAAAATAGTCAGATCTTACATTAACCTTAAGCTCCCTTCTAAAACAAGATTTACTACATGGTTATTTATTTAGCCATGACCAAGTTTATGCTAATTGTTTCAAGGGAAAATTCAGTGATCTACTTGTTATGCCAGACTTATGGTCCTTACACAAGTCAAGTCCATTCAATTATTAAATCTCTTGGTGTAACAAAAAAAGATAGGCAAAACCCACATAGCCACAATGTGGTAAAAAATGCTGCAGTTATTGTAGCTATTTTAAAATAAATTAGACTCTGTATACATTCTGCAGCTGGAAAACCACTCATAATACTTCCACACTTAACAAAGGCGAAACATTGTCAAATTTCCATCTCGCCAAATAGATTTCACCCCTAGAACCTTACTTTGAGAGGCCAAAGACTTGTTACTGCCAACAACAAAGCTTGCAATATCCAATCTTTCCGTCTCAAGCCCGGGATCAGTCTTTTACCTGTGTAGCCCGAGATGAGACGAAATACCAGAAGATATTGGATGCAGCAGACTTTGCCAGACGTGAGAATTGTTCCTTCATAAGGTTTAATGATGCCTTCCGGAAAACTTTGCTCAAGCCAGCCCCAAAAAAACTCTAAGACAACCCACTATGAGAGCCAAGTTCAGTCTAATGACCGCGCTGATTTCAAACTTACATACAGAGAAAATTGTGGGAAGTTATGAAAAACTATTTTGTTTTTTTGGGGGGGCGGGAGGAACGGTTGATTGGTTACAGTCAAACCAGGTCAAGCGTTCCCGTCGCTAACAAACTAATGAATTCATTAATGGAAAAATGATTTCGTTTGCTGATTCAATAATCCATTCATAAAATGAATAATCCAACAGTCAAATTGTACCTCGATGCAATAATCAAATGTTGATTTGGTTTATGAACAAAATCTACCTGTTCTTTATTCTTTTCTGTTGTGTTCAATCGTATTTGCTTCCCTCTTCCTGCCGTTTACGATTGCGTTTTTCATTGCCTTTAATCAAAATAACAGCTAGAATAGACAGACCGCAAAGGCAAAGAAACTGACAAAGGCCGAGGATCGAAATCCACCAATCACCGCACATACACTGACCTCAGTTTGACCGTCGTGTTTTCTAAGAGGTCAGGCCCAGGTCTGTTGCACTGATTACTGGCAGCAAACTGGCGTAACAGTTTGTTTGGGTTTGAACTTCAGAACTCGCCAGCACTCGATTCTCAGAAAAAAAAAGAGGAAAAAACAAAATTCTGAGGTCAACTTGTGGAAAGTGTAATTTTTCAAAAAACAGTAATCGAATCAACATTCGATTATGGAATCGAGGCTAAATATGACTGTTGGATTGTTCATTTTATGAATGGATTATTGAATCAACAAACGAAATCATTTTTCCGTGAATGAATTCATTAGTTCGTTAGCGACGGGAACGCTTGATCTGGTTTGACTGTAATAACCAGTGAGAAACTCATCAAAATCTATCTACTCAGCCTATTCAGTAAATATTTGGTACAAATTAAATAAATAAGGAGTAGTTGCAAAAAAAAAAAAAAACACGCACACACACACACACTCCACTACAAGACCCAGTCAGAAGGTATATAAGAGAGATTTCTATAGCCATGTTTTTGCAAACCCAGTCAGATATATAAAAACTCAGTTTATGAAGCTCAACTGTTTTATATATCTGTAAAAGTAATGGTCTTTCACCTAAGTATTTGTCTTCTGTATAATGCACTGCACTACTATTACCTCATAACTACATACAACTCTGAGAACAAGCTAGCTCTTTCCTTGCCATGCATGTATCAACTACTATAAATAAAATAGTTTACATCAGCTGTGTGCAGTTCTCTGGAATGGTCTGTCTACTGCTATCAGGCAAGCAAAATCGCTGGAAAACGTCTGACAACAGAAAAAAAAAATCATTATGGTGAATATTGTATATTTGTAAAATTGCTAATTTTTTTTTTTCCAATAACAATAAATATTAGGATTTGAAGTTTTAACTCTTAGGCTGATGTTTTACTATGGATTAATAATAAAGATGATGATAATAATGCACTCATCAAAAAATAGTTCAAAAACTACGTTACAACCTTAATTGGGGTGAAACAACCCCCTTAACCTTCCTTATCAAAATCATAAATCTGATAGCTGCCATAGGGTGGCATAAGAGGGAAAATTATTTTATAACATATTTTTTCTTGTTGCTTTCTTTAGATCACAAGAAAATTGATGAGGCACTGCAAAAAGCAATGCTTCCAGGGAAGTTTTTCATCCTCCTGGATCACAAACAAGATGAACATTGGAAAAATTTAGGCCTCAGTCTTGGCATTGATCATAAAGACCTTACAGGGATAATGACTAGCTGTGCAGCTCAACACAAAAATCCTGCCCAAGAACTGATACACTATCTATGTGCAAAAGACCCAAATATGCCCATCACTGAGTTCAAGAAGTTCTTTGACTGTACTGATACTGGTATATATAGGATGGACATAATAAAGAAACCGGACAGCCAACCAGGTATTTATACCATTCATATGTGTCATAAGGTCATAAAAACAGCGACCTTGTCCCAGGTGAGGGGGCAACCTATGAATCTTTTGTGTAGGCGTGCACTGCAAAGATCGTGGAACCCTAACTATACCAGACACTGGGTAAAGGCAGTCATGCTGCCAGCACTGAATTCTGGCTTTACGTATGGTGTGGTCTCATTCACTCAGAAACCCTTCCAGTCCTTCCAGCTAATCCAGCAAGGCCAACCACATGCTGGTAAAGTCAGACCACTCTTATTCTTTATGAACAGTGGGTGGGTTCTTCAATGTCCCACAGAATAGGTTTTTTGAACATGGCCTGTAGTTCAGCAGCCTTTTCTGAGTAGAGTAGAACATCTGAACATTTGCAGATGTCATAACAAGGCAGCACTTTCTCTGAAGTTGTTTAAAGAACCTGGTGTTGGTCAGGCAGCCATTTTACATGATGGCCTCCCACATAGCAGACCACTGCTTATCCAGTTGAGCTCACTAGGTAGCATGAAGATGCAGGTGTTGCATGTTTAGGTAGTGTAGTTACTAAAACAAGGAATGACCTACAGTGTACAATGACCTACAATGACCTACAATAAGCTACAGTGACCTACAATATGACTAAATTAATGTGGGGACCTTAAAATAAGGTGACAGCCCCTGCAATGAGCAAAAATGAAGGTAAGATAAAGACAGAAAAAGATCAGGAGGACAAGTTTGTCAAGTAGCGGTATTAGATGTGTGTTTTTAACGTTATGGTTAGCCCTGGGACTCATCTTGTGAAAAATCATGAGTCCAAGTCCAGAACCAATGAGGATCAGTTCATAAAAAAGGAGTCCTAAGTTGAAAATGCTTGGGCCTAAAGTTATGTAACTATAAGACAGTTAATCTGCATGGAAAACAAACTCCAAAACTCTTTTTACAGTTTACTGAAATAAAAACATAGTCCTTCTATATATTTAAAGCACAAAAAAAGACTAAAATAAATAAGCATCTTTAAAAAACAGTCACAGAAATCACACAAACAAGATATTCCACCAAAAAATCTTCAAATTGATTGATCATTCTCTGCATCCTACAAGACGCATGTCGTGAATTAACTTTTGTCCTTGGGGATTTTTATGCATCAGGGATGCAGGACGCAGAGGTAACAAAATCACTGCACTTTTTGTCTACTGCATGACAGCCCAAATGGTGACAGCAACTCTGAGATTACTGCGCTTGTGGATAAAATTAATTTAATAATAAATTAAATGATGATGTTAAAACTAATCTGAAAATTTCCTCAGTAACATGGTTTTGAGCACTGAGAATAGAATTTGCACTGCAAAGATAATGCATATTAAGTAATAAGTTATACGCTCCTTCTTTCTCCATGAAGTGTAATAATATTGCCACTCGACCCTAACCGTGTATAACTCCTTTAGTGTTGTTGATCAAGTTAGTGAAGAGATTTAGGCTCTAACAATATATGTTAGCCGTAGAGTCTTCATAAGAACTGTCTTAAATAGCAAGACCGGTTTTGGAAATCTAAGATGGTTTCCTTCGTCAGTTGCTTTAACAGTTAGTAGCTCATGGGGCTGCGAGCAAAATAAAGTGACTTTGTGGCTGGAGAAGGTCCCTTTTTAAAGGCAAAGAAGGGACACATTGTTAGAGAAAGTAACCAATTAGAAGTGTAGTGTTTTGATCTGTTACGCCTGAATTTGCCTGTTCTTTTGTTAGCGGTAAGCAACAGACGCTAACTGAATGCATGCAAATCTATTATACAGGGTAATGTTACATATAAACGTTATTACAATAATAAATTATTTTGAAAAACCTGCCATTTCGTAAGTTACCTGAGATCGGGTCCTATTTTTGTTTAGCCTTATTCGCAGACATAGTTTAACCTCAGTTAGTAACGTCTGCAAAGTAGACTCTACAAATTACTGGAAATGAGTTTCAAATTTCCTTTCAATCTAATTGGCAAATCTACAATGGCTTTTTTAACAGGCCAATTGTGGCACTTACTCAAATCCTGGTACACAGGTGGAGGCCTAAAACAAGGATTTCAGTGCTGTTTCACAGATGGACTTAACCAGAGTTTAGATTCATCTGTGACGCAGGCTTATTTGAAGAGGGGTTGGCAAGTTTCGTCTAAACTTATGAGCCCAGTGTCATGTCCAAGCGTGATGTTTGTGTTGCGTTTAGGGAAACAATCTGGCCCTGCATGACACGCATCATTAATGTTAAGTTAATAATAATAATAATAATAATAATAATAATAATAATAAAGGATAAACGATCATTGTCTGTAATTTTTGCAGCTCTTGGTAGGAAATCGTAGTTGTAGCTTATTGTAGCTTATTGTAGCTCACTGTCGGTCATTGCAGCTAATTGTAGATCATTGTAGGTCATTGCAGTGTAGCTCATTCCGATCCTTGTTTGGCATTTTAAGAATCAAGACTCATCCTGTCAGCTATTGTTGAAAACAGCATTACTTCTGAAACTGAATGAGGACAGAAAAAGTAAAACAAAAGAAGAAGAATTGGACATTTCAATCCTTAACCGCTCCCCGAGGGTGGAATATTGACTCAAGAACTTCCAACAAACCCATCATGTCTAACTGCAGATTTTAGACTAGACTATTTGTATGCGCATATGAAGATATTTTACTTACTTTAATTTACTTGATTGATCTATTGTTTGTTTGTTGATTTACATTCGGAAATAAGTTACTACAGCTCTTGCGCGCGAACTGCATATTCTAAATCCGAGTTAAAATAAAGTTTCGAACATTTTACAAAACGGTTAACTTCCAAAAGCCAGGAAATGCGAACCAAAGTCAGCATAGACCTGTTGAAGTTAAAATGCAGGGTTACAAGTTACAAAATCCGTTGTGTAGGTCTTACTTGTGCATCCGCCAAGGTCACATATTCCCCCAAAATGACGGTCAAGGGCCACAATGCCTGAGGCAACCGACAGAACCGCCAACACAACCGCAAGTAAACCGAGAAGAGCGCTAAAAAGGGGCAACTACTTCATGGCTGAATGCCATATAGACGACAAGCCCCCAGGGTCCTCTGGCATGGAGAAATCCATCCTCGGAGACCCAGGGGCAGATAGTGGGGGCGAGGAAAGTCTAAACAGGCGGGAAAATATGGCACAAAAGAAAAGTAAAGAACGGCCAGAAGAGCTCTTCTCGCCGTTCTTTACTTTTCTTCGTGCCTTATTTTTCCGCACGTTTAGACTTTCCCTCGCCCCCACTATCTGCCCCTGGGTCTCCGAGGATGGCAGAGATCTGCACAGGCGATATTAGCAGGCGTCGATAGGGTAGGGCATCGGAAGGAAGAGAAACGGAAGGGGATTTCCCTATCACGCTTTTCTCTCCTTCCCCTCAGTCCAGTCTTCCCCTGTTTGAAGAGAATGTGCTCAGTAACTGGTTGCCCTGACTTCCTGGATAAGGACGAAAATATGTAAGCCGCTGCCTCACAGCACCTTCACTGATCTACCGCAGGAGCCCATCAAAGAACCCACACTGCTGTTCGACAAGAGTAGGAGAAATGATGGTTTGATACATGCAGATAGTGCAGGGAACGGCGCAAAGTCAGTAAAGTGAGCAGGAACAAACTGAGACTTTCTTTTCCCCTTTTTCCCCTCCGCTCTCCCTTTCGTTTTACCCTACGACTGTCTGCACGCTTGAAAAAGGCAATGGGCGGTGTACGTGGAGAATTAAGGGTTCTCGGTCAGTTAAAACTCAAGTACTGTTTGATCTCTTATCACCGTGTTCATGGCACCGTGGTAAATTATCAAAGAAACCATAATATTTCATGGCGCAAGACCGTACAAGGAACCCTTATATGGCAAGATGAATCAAACTTTGCGCTCTGGGAGCAGGCAACTACCTAGATGCACCGCTCCTGCTAGCCTCCCACGCAGGCATTTTTATTAGTGCTCGTTTTTCATTCCTCCCAAAAACCATTCCCGACCCCAGTGCTTACAATTTTTGGGAATGCGTGTGTAAGCTCTCTGCTCTCTCTTCTCTACATGCGCTGAAGAGCTCTGGGTCGAGATTGCCCAAAAACAGGGGCCATGGGCTCCTGCTGATGGGCTCCTGCCAAAAACGAAAAACGAGCTGCCCTAAAAACGCCTGCGTGGGAGGCTACGCTCCTGCCAGCAATAAATTCAGTTCTGTTTATAAATAGCCATATAACCAAATCCTTCACTGACCAAACTTGTACATTCAAGATGGCTGGATACTTTCCTTTCTTGCTTTTTTATAGACCTCAAATTGTTAGCCAAACTCTAGCCATCTTGTTCGAACAAGAGTAGTCAGCGTTTAATATCTGTTGCCTTCAGTCCCCCCTTCAGTATTCTTTCGCAAATATGCGTTATTGTAGCTAACCGGTTCCGTTTTTCTACTTCTAACAGGTCTGAAAACATTGACAGATCTGCAACATAATTTGGAGTTAATGCGAGAGGTGACATGTATGCTGAATAACGCGGATAATTCACAAAAGCAAAACTATTTAGATCTCGCAAGTAAATGTGGTATTTCCCCTGAGGTGTACAGAAGTATACAGCCACCCTGTTCCGAGAGCCCAACTAAACAGGTCTTGGAAGACATTGTTGGACGGAAGCCATCGTACACTGTTCAAGAGCTGTTCACTGATTTGCAGGCAATGGACCGCTCAGATGTTGTAGAAGCTATTTACCGTCATTTTGTGGAAGCTGAAGAGACCTGAAAGCCTTATTAGTTCGCCACGATTTACGGTCGTTTCGATACATGTTTATTCAGTTTAGGTGTAAATAGCTCCATGTACTTGGCTTAAAGAACAAAGAATCATCACCCAAAATGTCACCCGCAAACTATGACTTGAAGTGATCGAAATTTTTGTGCAACGTCACAGCTTGAGTTCGTATCGAAACGACCGAACTCCGTTCGCCACATATAATCATGCGGTCAAGCATGTCTGTTTAGAGCTCTTGACATAGAAATAGAATAGACTCGACTGAGAACCCTGAGAAGAACACTGATTACAGAGTTAGTAGTCTACTTAATGACTTAAAGAAACATGACATATAAAAAAGGAACTTTACTTAATAATAATTTACTTAGGAGTTTCGTTTCGTCTTTGCCATGCAGAGTCCACTTTCAGTGATGGATCTTATAAATAATTACATGTTGGTTGCATCAACTGAAGTTTTAGCGCTATCCCTCCGTCAGATTTATGTAACACCACGGCTTCTTCACAAACTAGTGCCGTAAGAACCAAACCTCTATTCTTTGGTACTAAATATACTTGAGGTTGAATGGTGAAATGTTACCTTGTCTTCTCAGAAACTCCTACTTTGTGTTGAAAACGTTTTGTGTAAACAGTGCAGCTGAAGCGGAATGCTAAAGATGGCGGTGGGGGGTTCCCTGTGAGCAGCGGCTTCTCTAGCCTGCGAAAGCATCCTTGTCTCCTCGCTCTTCACCGCAGCGGACGTTTTGCGGGGCGAAGAGCGAGGAGAAACAGATGTTTTAGCGTCCAGCGCGAACGCAGGGTATGGTGGTGGCGATGTTGAACATAACGATGATGATGATGATCAATTCTATGTCAGTTTATTGATATGTTCGAGCACTATCTTGACAGTATCTTAAAAGTAGCTGACAAAAAGTTGCCACTCTAGCAGCCTACACATCGCAGAGCAGAGGCCCTTCGACCTTCCTAGATTAGTCGAGGGCTTCCACTCAAAGGGTAACAGCACCCCGAAACGTGCCTTTTAAGGATGGAATATATTTGGTCTAGAGCGTAAGTGAATCAGCAAGGATTGAAGTATTAAAGTTGATTGGTAGCGAACAATTTTGTGCGTTTTTACACCCTTTGAATAGTTACTCTCCCTCTTCTGGGGTACCGGGCTTACCGATATTGGCAGACGGCGAGTTATTGCATTGCCGAGCTTACTCCGCTTACTATTAAAGTTACTAAATCTACCACTAAAACTACCGAATTATTGAAGACAATAATTCTAATAATTCAGTTGAAGTGCTGTTTACGGGTTGAAGTCAGCGACTCATTCGTAGGAATTCGAAATTTCAATCTTACAGTTACCGTCAGAGAAAGGCGGTGGTGTGTGATTGGTTTGCCCTGTCCCAGTCCTGCAGTAGTATTTTAGGAAGTTAGATCGAGCATTCATTGTACATTCTATTCTTGTAATAAAAGAAGCAATCGTTGTGATTTCATTCCATTTCTCCTTGTTGAAACCAGAGTGATCACGAGAAGAATTGAATTGACACTTGGGTCACATTTTTAATTGACTCCTCTCCAATACTTTTATAGGAATGTAAAGAGGCAACAAATAGGAGAAATTTTCAGATTAGTGGTTAAAGGGTTTATAAGCAGGCAATTAGAAATGAAGTATGATAACCTTTTTATTTAGAGCTACTGGAATCCAGCACTAGTTGGGTTTAGAAAATTGGAGACTGTAGGTATAAACGCACTCAAAAAAGCGGAATTTTTAAAGACTAGTTACCGGGTTCGTACAAATTTTTGAATGCCAAATGGAATACTTTTCAAGAATTTTTCCAAAAGAATGATTTCCCTTTCCAGACTCAAGGTTATCAATTAAGCGATTCGAGGAAACCTATACCATTCAGGAACCAAACTTTTCACACCATTCCTTACAAATGTAAAAGCGTACATCAGTGAAAAGTCTCTGGCATCCAGAGAAGGCCTCCCCCTATATCTCGTTAACCTGACAACCGCGGTTTTTGTCCTGCTCAATAAGTTACTCATAAATCTTTATCTCCTCAGCAGTCTTGAATACGGTGATCAGGAACACCACAGTGATTAGGTCGAAAACGGGTGATGGTTTATACACTCCAATTAATGCAGAGAAACTAAGCTCAATGAAAATTTACTAAAACTTTAGCTTAACTCCTCAATACATAAAATGTCAATAATATTAACATAGAGTCCATGAGGTGTGACAACAACAGTGTTCACAGACGAATATTAGGCTCAAAGACTCGGAAGCTTGTCCACAGGTGTAACAAATTTGAAGTCGCTTGGAAAGAGTTCAGCTGCTCGGAGATATATGAGTCTGTAGGACTGACGAATCGTCACATCAGCTACACCAGCAATATCACCGATTTCTATCAAACAAAAACAAAGCAGACATACATTCGGTTACAAAATGATCGGTGTAGCTAAGTAACAAAGTAACAAAGTAAAAGTGCTCTTTTTCCGGAGAAGAGGCAAAAAAGAGATGCTCTTTCTCAGGAGTTACCGTGTGAGCTATGTGGGTTTAGGGGAGCACTCCCACCCCCATTATATTGGAACAAAACCGAGGTGCCGAGAAAATGATTTTTTTCGACAGCGCCGTTGTTCCCCCTCCCCCTCCCCCTAAGAGAGCGGTCCCCCTTATCTCAAGGTCTGGGTCCTACACCGCAGCAATGGAGGATCAAGGGACATCACGTAAAGTATGCCTCCCCAGGCCTTAAGTGAAAACGTTTTAGCTGGAACTAGAAAGAATTACCCTCCAGGCCCCGGTTGTTCAAACGTTGGATAGCGCTATCCACCGGATAAATCACTATCCAGCGGATAAGTATTAGGAAAAGCAATTGCGTTATCCAATGGTTAGATTTTTATCCGGTGGATAGCGCTATCCAGCGTTTGAACAACCGGGGCCAGGCCTCCTTGTTTCGATCTGAGGTCAGGATAAGTCGAGGACCGGGGACTCCTACACTAGAGACCTTTAGATTCGCGGACGAGAACGACTACCAGGACGAGATGTGACGCGTATTCTTAAAAAAGAGACACACTGGAAAGCTTCATGCACAGTTATCTGTATTGACGGGGGTTAAAGCCTCTTCGGATCGAAAAATCATAAAGTTCTATCATTTGATAACTCGTTTCCGCAACTACTTCTCGTTAGAACTCGTAGTAGAATATAAATGACGACGACTTTCACCTTTTCCCGCCAAAATGACGCTGGTTCACGCGCGCGCACTAATTAGTATTGAGAAAATAGCATTCTCATAGTCGTCCTCATCTTAGAATCTGAAGATCTCTACTAGACATCCGCCACTAAACAGTATATGAGCTACAGGAAAGTTGACTTTATTTCCGTGACATAAAGCATCACAGAGTATAGCTATAATCTCCTGGTCGCGATGTTGGTCTATTAGAGAAATGCCCACCCATTCGAACATCTATAGACAGTGGGAGATAGCTAACCACATTTACAGTTTACGAAACACATAGAAACATCCAGTAGCGTTTTGTTGCCTATAATCTGGCATAACTTTATTATTCAACGTCTCAAAGCTTCGAGCTCAGTAATAAGTGCTTTGCTAATACGGCAGGCTAAACTGCAGTTAAAAAAAGCGCACAACAAAGTTGACCTCACGTCTAAACGGCAAAAACTCGAACTTCCAAAATCCAGACCAGCTAATCAAACGTATTACATTCTCCGCGACCAAATAATTGTAAATTATACCGTATCTTCTTTTAGTATATACTAAAACAGTGGATAGTGTTTTTCGCAGGCTCTGATTGGCTACTCAATCAGTGAATATCCTGCACTATTCACTGATTCACCTCCAGTTCCTCCGAGCGAGCGACGCCAAACTCGCGTAGGTTGCGAGCAAAATGCTTTCCCAGTTTGCTGCCGTAACAAACTAAGAAATTTCACAACTAATCAAGCAAGCTATTTCCGAAATACATGAAGAAGGTGACGAAGTTCGGTTTGGAAGGTTTAACAGGTAAAGCTTTGTCTTTTTGACTTGAATAGTTATCGATAAAACCGGTGAAAAAGTTTTTTGTTTACAAATGCAAATTTTAAGTCTTGCGTTACTTTCTTTAGTTGACTTGTTCATAAATAAGCTTAAAACTAAATTTAATAATCTTTTTTACAGAATTATTTTAAATACAAACAGAATTCACAACTCCTTTTGAAGAAACTTCCCCGCAAGAGCTAAACAAACGCCTTCAAAAGTTTTATTTGTCGCTAAGAAAAAGCGACGACAGCGGCAGTTCGGTCATCGCGCGCCAAAATTGTAATCGTTGGCAACAGTAAATGAGTTAAAAATCATCATTTTGTGCTCAATTATCTCACTGTTTTAGTATATACTAAAACAATAATTATTCACCTCAGTGACGGTGGCTAGTATTGGAAATTTACCGCGCCGCTTCGCGTCCTCGGTAAATATCCAATACTAGCCACCTCCACTTCGGTGAATAATTGTTATTTATTTAGAAAAACGTGCACACAAAGTCTGTGGAAGAATTTACATTATCAATATTTAATATTAGTGTTTCAGAATGCAATGCAAAACCCAATTTAGGCAGTGTTCACATTCTACAGGATTGCTTTTGCGCCGGCACGAAAACTCTGTCGGATAGGGCTTCTGTTCACACATAAGAACGGTGATCTGCGTAGCGCCGATCTCTTTTGTAGAAAGTCGCATGATATCGTATAGGTGTTCATACTATACCAGTACGAAAACCTATCCAGCGATATACAGTGAAACTTCTATTAAGCGGACCCCCAATTAAGCTAGTTTCGCTCGCTCTACTATTCCTGAGGAAAAATGGGGGACTACTCGTAGTCTACAATTAAGCGGACACGCTCTATATATCGGACACTAAGCCGGGTCCCGAAATTAACGTCTTATATTTCCCTTTATAACGAACCCCTATTCAGCGGACACCTCTATTAAGCGGACGCGGACACTAAAATAAGGTGTATTTGGCTATTTTCTATTGTTAAAAACCTCTATTAAGCGGACACGGACTGAATTGACAATAGTAGTATCGGATTACGTCCTTGAAATACGGACTGAAGTCAGTTAAAGTTTTTTCAGTTACAAACAAATTAAATTTGGTAATAAAAGGTTATGAGCTTGAACTCTGGATAGCTTCTTTAACAACATGCAACTTTATCACAGTACAGAGTAACCGTTGAAAGTTGATCGTTAACAAACATTGCGCAATTTTTACAACCTCTATTAAGCGGACACTTGGGAAGGTCCCGAAGGTGTCCGCTTAATAGAGGTTTCACTGTAGTGTGAACATACTCATGGGTGGGATTTGTAAACAAAAACAAATAATGGCATATCATATACCTTTCTGTGATCTTTTCTCATCTGACGCTTGGGATGCCATGTAAATGGCTGCAGCCGCAACTGAAATTGGACTCCGTCTGAAAGAAGAGGAAAAAGAGATGTAAGTACCTCGCAACATCTTGCCAAGCATTTATTTGCTGGGCGAAAATGGACAGAAATTTGGCTCCAGACCATCACTTGACCTGTTTCTTTCTTTTGAACGGTTTCGAGGCTATTTTTGAAGGGCTAGAGAATCAGACTTACCCAGGAACTAAATCTAAATCAACCGCTTTACGGGCGATATGTGTAGCTGCCTTCTGTACTTCTGCTCGGAGGCCAAGATTGGAACAAAATCTTGACTGAAAGAGAGAAACGAAACATCGAAAGGTTCTACTTTTCATCACGTAAACATGACATCTTGTTGTCAGCCTATTCTTACTATTCACTTCTACGTTACAATTTCTTCCACTCTAGAACACAAACAAGATAACAAGAGAAAAACTGAACTTGGGACGAATACTGGGGTCGAAGCAGCACTATTAAAAGACCTCTTCAAGCATCTACTTCTTTTTCAGACAGCATGATGATATAAAACGCATAGATTTGATGCATTTTCTTTATATATTCTCCTCGATAAAAAGGTCGCATTAATACTGTCTGCCCTATGTTTAATCACCCACACCATGCTCACACTAAAAACTGGACGTTCTGAAAAGTTTTCCTATGGGTATTTTAAAATTCATTTTTTCGAAAGTCGTGATCAGGGTTTTTTACACTCTTTTATTACCGACAAAGATAGGAGAAGAAATTCTAGCGAAAATTCTAGAAAAAGTACTGGTAAGATGCCCTAAAACTTCAACCCTTCTTGGCTCTTAGTTTTATTGACAGCTACTTAATAAAAAGTGACACTTATCTCACTGACCATAAAATCCGTTGTTGTAATAAGGTGAACGCTTGTTTCCAGGGCCTTCAAAATTAACTTGAAACAACGACCTATTTCTTTCTTGGAGATTTTGCTAATTGCACAAATTTCTGTGGACAAGAAGTTTCACATGTTAATAGATATTTCCAAACTTGCTATAAAGGGCGGAGAGAGGAAGTCTTGTTACCTTGGTCACATATATAAGAATAAAAGATGGTATACAGAGGTAATTGGGTACTGAAAATAAAAATAGAAAGGACAAAGATAAAGAAGAACAGGAACAAAATGAATGCATACAAATGAGGACTGGTTTAAGATGAACCATAATAAATACACAAGGATGGGGAAAGATCACTTTAGGTGGAGATAAATAATGTAGACCTGCATTGATTGGATCATGGCACCTATTATATGATGGTGATATTTTTTGGCCAACTCAACTGAAATACTGAAACGTAGCCATTATATGAAAATATTCTGCACTGTGTCACTTGATGATGGAGCCATCTGCAACACCCAAAAAACTTATAATAGCAATAAGTTATTTCTTTATTTATAAGGATTTTTTTATGTTACAGATGGTTCTAATGCCAACTAACTTCTTTCCTTTGAGCATTTTCCAAAAAATACAAAACATTCAAAAAGTTTGACTTACTTATGAAATGGCAAAGAGGGGGTGAAAGTTACGTTGTTTTAAGAGACATTATGAGGATCATACCTTTAAACGTCCTAGGTACACCCTCCTGTCTACAGGCAATGTACAAACAAGCAGATGCAATGGCATCATTACTTCTTCCTTTTAAACTCTTTTGTTCATGAACTTGTTTAAAAAGTTCATTTGCACGGTCCTGAGAAAGAAGAAGGCACGCACTGAATCACTACATAAAATATTAACTTGGCAACCTTATAGCGTATTAACCCACTTCTAGGGAGCATGTTTCCTTTGGATTATCCAGATCAGGAATTACCATTCAAGATCACTCAGGCTATTGTGTACCAAAGGAACTGACAATTCCTTGTCCAAATGGGATGTAGCAGTTCGTTTGATGCATCATGGCCAATCTGAGTAATCTTCGGTCATAAAATTAATCCCAATCATCCAAGAGGAACTACATCTAACATGTCTTAAACCAGCTCTGTTCTGTTGCATTTTTCTTATAACCCACACTTGTGGAATACAGGTTATGGCATTTTGTAACAACTTCAGCATTTTGTAAATTAATAATTAATTTACAAAATGCTGAAGTTGTGAAGTTGTGTTGTATTCTATGATGTCAAGATTACTTACCTGAATTTTTCTGGGAAGATTTATCCTATCAGCCATAACACCAATTTCTCTGAAAGCATTCATAAGACTTCTGTCTGAGCCAGTTAACTGCAAAATAAATAAACCAGTTAACACAAAATTAACTTTATACAATGAAGAGACTTCAAAGGACAATCTAGAGGTTTTGGTGATGTAGTGGCAAAGTGCTTTGTATTTTGTGACTAGAGCAGAGGGAAACACAAAAACAGTGATGATGTTGAAAGTACTGATGAATAATGTGCAGAAATTATAATGGTTGTGTTGTCCTATCTGAGACTGTATGTCCTAGATCCATGGTAAAATTAATGATAACTAAGTGCAAATTAATGTAAAATTATGAAAGTTAAGTAGAGACTCAAGTTTTTATTAGTTAAACATACCCCTCCTCGATTGTGGTATTTTGAGTAGCCCTCTCCTGAACTGTTTCCCTGTGGTACTCTCTCAATCATTGTTGATAGATCACCTCCACTCAATAATGGGTTCTGCAGTAGACGATTGTTCAGATTAACCACATACAAAAAACAACTGTCATGGCAAATATATTGGACAGTATAGCTTTAGAAGCTAGAGCTAAAGTTAAGGTTATGTAGCTCTTAAATTTACAAGCTTTATTTTAATATAAATCATGTACAAATTAGACAGGAAGCTTAACGGTAATAAGAACGAGAGCACTGGTATTCACAATGCATCATGTGCTCAGTTTGAAAAGAGTGCTTTTTAAAGTATACAATAGGATTCAAATGGATAACATGAAGTGGTTATTTTAAACTGTTACAAGCTGCAATGACAAGTAGGTATATTACTGGCTCTAATTTAATTTCAAGTTTAATTTTGATTTAAGTTGATTCTTGATCATTAATTGATTCATTGCCTCCTGTCCCCATCTGGGAGCTAACCATGGAAATTGAGAATTAACCTACTATTGGTGACAAATTTAGTTTAGACACTTTGCCATATAAGGCCTCTCTAATGTTAGCTTCTCTTTCCCCACCCGCTCCGTGCAATGTTGTGTTGCTGTTTAAGCTACCTGTAGAAAACAATGAATGGAGGAGAGAGGGGAGGGGTGTGGATTGTTTTGTTCACCAAAGTTACCCATTTGAGGACTGAACAATTTTGTCACCAATTGTAAGTTAATCAAGAATTGTTTAACCTAACAGCTATCCTTACCTGAGCAGCTCCTACACGGGATGGGTCACTGGTGGACTTCTCATTACTAAATGTACGCCATTCTGAACCTACATCTACAACTCTATAAAATTCATAGGGAAAACACAAACATTAATGTGTGGCTCCAAAAACTATCCATACCTCCCCCATGGAAGGGATTTTTCCTTAGATCCCCCACCTCTCTAGAAATTCAAGTCAAGCTTCATACATTTACTTAACTTTTTGGGCCTTTGAAAACCCCCTACCCCCCAGGAATTTCCAGTCCCTTCTGTGGGGGAAGTATGGATGTTTTCTGGATCTACACAATCCACAATTACATAGAAATATTCTCAAATCCACAAATTCAACTCTGTTTGTCTGGAACAGGTCCACAGTCTCAAAGACCTGTTGTCCATGGGGTATAGCTGTAGTCAGTATACAGCTAAAAATATGCTGCTTAGACAGAAAACAGCTATAAAAACACTAGTTAGTCAGTAAGCAGCAAAAAAAACGTTTAGTCAGTTAGTTGGTATGGTTGTGAGTCGTGCAGACGGCAAAATCGTTTGTAGGGTGGTGTTTCCAAATCAAATGCTCCCTTAAGACTATAAAATATTCTTGCACACTTCATCAAATAAGTCTGAAGAGAATTCTTTCTTACAAATCCTGCCTTACTGACACCCTGATTTGTCTTCCATGGTTAAACCTGGAAGGCAGCACAGCTACAGTTTCCAATTCATCCTCTTTCAGTGAATAAAATTCTTGAACAAAAGTACTCTATCAACCCCCCCACCCTTGTACCAAAGCGAGGGAATGAATTTGCGTGTATGTCCGAAGGTTAATATTTTGTTATTTATATGCCTATGGCAGTGAAAAAAGGCCTTTATTCATTATGCAATAAACCCCATTTGCAGTTGACCCTCATTTATGGGAACTTCCCCCCACTGGGGGGTCCCCCCAGGTTTTGGTGGCTTGCATCATTATGAGGCAATGGTACTACTCAGTTGTTGTTTACTAGTTACTATCAAAATCCTGACCGAAGCCAGAAATATTTTGTTCCATTCTTAATGAAATGCCTTCATTAACGCGAATATATTCTCTTGCGCTAAATATAGGGATTGCTTGGGATTGCTCATTAAAAATTTATGACGTCAGCACATCCTGTAATTTTGCAGGTAAACTGAGTTTAGTATAATTTACAGGCCGGTTTCAGCTGATCCTGCCGGCAGAGTACTAATCGATAGTATCTTCAGCTAGCTACAATCTTCAGTCACGTACAACACAAGGAAAGGAATTCAAAACTTATTGTTCTTTAAAGCTACCTTTCTGTGATCAGGAAATAGATAAAAACTATGCCACCTTCATGTAAGCATTTTCGTAAGCTTAATGCATTGAACGGATCTGAAATTGAATTTCTACACGATATTTCTGTGACTGTTTTCAGAAAGCTTTGTCGGAGTAATTTAGATAACTTTAAAGAAAAGTGAAAATTTCTTCTAGGGTTCTACCTATCTCCAACGACAAGACCACACTCAGAGCAGATCATATCTCCAGCGCGATAGTCTTCAATCAATGGCGCCTCGGGATGATGGACACATTTTATTGTTTGTGAGCTGCAATCGAAGTAAAAACAACGAAAAAGTAAGTCAGGACATCTTGACAGAATGTCTTGCCATAGAGGATTCAAGAAAAGCATTGTAAACATGACAAAAAATAGAGAAACGACTTACCCACTCGCCATCTAAATGCAGTTGTTACTCGTGTCAACTCTCGACTCCCCCAAAAATGCTGGGCTACCGCTCTTTATAACTTTTGCGGCTAAACCGGAAGTGACGTAACAGTCTGAAAAGAAATGTTTCGTCTGTAATCCCCCCAAAGCAAGGTTGTTGTTTACGCGTCGCTGGATTTTTGAATTCCTCCTTTCAGTTTTTTTCCATTTTGTCATGGCTGGAAATCGCTTATCCAATGTAACGGCGGATCAAGTTAAAGGTAATTCGTACGATTGTTGTTTGAGAAACTTGTTTAATTAGATTGGCTTAGTGCTAATACGCGATTTTCCGGTTACTTTTCCGGCGACATACGTATATATAAATATCACTTACTTTGATCGGCCTTCAGAGGAAAACAGGAATTGTTCAAGCACATCAGGTGAAATCTTCGGATAAAAATGGACTGGACAAGCTCGAGAGGAACTTGTAAAAACACGTGAACTCTAGGAATTAGCGAACAGCCCCCTTGCTTTCATCTCAGAAAACGCGGTGTCGTTTGCATTGATGAAGAAATACTTTTCGATCATTAAAAGCTCTGTTATTTCAAATATTTACTATACTCAGTGTTTTTACGGCCAGTATTGTGTTAGATCTTTATGCAAATGAGTGAAAAATAGAGTGGAGGAAAAATGTTTGTCACAAGGGGTAGCGTAAGAGAAGCACTGGGCCGCACTGGGGTGAGGTTGGGGGCGTGATCGATTCAAGAACAGAGCAAACAGGGGGAGTCATATTCCCGGGTTTCGCGATTTGGCGAAAATACTGGCAGGATTGGGGAAAGGTTATCAGGACAAGGGATTTGCCAAATTTGCGCACGGATGCAGCGTTGGGGAAGAAAATGGTTTAGCCTTGACAGAAGCTCGGGATGCGGGATTCCCCTGAAAAAGGAGCAGGAATGTGGGATCACGGGCTGTTATCAGCTGGTGCTGAGAAATTTCACAATAAAAAAAAATGTTTCTAACGCTGGCAAATACTTCAGTTAAATTCTATGTATTTATTAATGCCCCCTTTGAGGGAAACATTTTTGAAAGCTCCCTCCCTCTCTTACATTTCCCACCCAAAAAATTCAAACACCCAAACTATCAGGGGGCCACAATTTTGGCATGTTTATTAACCCTTCAATCTTCTCTTTCTACTCCCCCATTTCCTATCACACCTCAAAGTCCGTGAACTACCCATTGGTGTCATAGGTGTGGCAATAAAAAAGATGCAGTATGGTACAGTGTTCAAGATTAAAAAGTACAAGTTTTAGGCAATTGATTTTGATACTGAAAGGGTAAGCATGTATGAGCTGCAGTAGCGGGTATACTTATTAATTTTGTCAAAAGTAGTTTTATGTAAGTCAAGGATAGGGTATAAAAAATAGCAAGTTCTACTTTAGAATAGAGCGTTGTCTGAGCATACATTGCAAGCTTGATATTACGAATTAACCACTATATAACAAACTCTTGGTATAACAAATGATTGTCTTTACCCCAGTAATAGCAAAATATGTGAAAAAGAACCTTGTTACAAAAAACAAATGTTGCCAGTCCCATGACCGTTAATTATATCGAGGTTCCACTGTACCACTAAGCTTCACATGAAGGCAAAGACAATCTCTTTGTGGATTTCAATACCAGCTGTAATATGTACTGCATAAAATCAGCAAGTCATGTGTAAAGGTTTATCTAATAATATTATTAGATTAGTTCTATGTATTCTTATAATGTATCATAATTAAATCTTAGCTGCCATGAGAGATGTGTTGCTGGCATTTGAGAGGCCAGAGCATCAGACAAGACTGCTGGAAATAGAACAGGAGGCAGGGAGTGACTTGGTAAAGCTTCTTCAAGACCGGCTTCCATTTGCTGCTGAGATCCAGCAAGAAGTGATTAAAAGCCATGGCTTTTCAGATGATGGAGCAGGTATTCCTACTCAAGTGATATATCAATCGAACTAAATTAAAAGTAAGATGTATGGACTATACATATTTGACAAAGTTGGTGTCACTTCTTATAATAACACAAAAATTAATCTTCTTGAAGACTTAATTATGCTAGTTTTTGTGAATATTTGGCAAAGAAGATTTCACTGAAATTATATCAGTCTTGAAATTAAGAAGTAAAAAATCTTCTGGCAGGTAAAGATTACACAAAGGAAGGTCCTGATACTGTAACTATCAAATCTACAAACTAAGATAATCCCCTAAAATACTGATGGCCTGAAGCTGTGAACTTTGAACTACCCACAATACCTTTCAGGGATGTTGTGTGCAGTTTTACTCTTTTTTTCGACAACCTTTAATTCTCGAAATGGCTCTTGATTTTAATGAACGTTGTTATTGAGAGCAGTTATTCCAACAATTTATTTTGAACTGTATATTTTGTTTTGTCTTATAGGTTCTCTTACTTTCACTCATGCCATCAAATTGTTTGAGAAAGATGATGAAGAAATAGCTAAAATGGCAGAAGATCTAAAGTCACGATTCATTCCTCTCTTACCTCGTCCACCACTGTTTGTTCCTAGGGATGTCACATGATCTTTCTTACCTGACCTCATTTTTCTACATTTTTTAATGTATAATTGTCACGTAGAGTTGATGAGTGACTACTTTTACAAAGTGAACTACACAAATTATGTAAGGTGTATATTTGTAAGTGCATTTCTTTGTACATAACATATTTTAGATTAGAAATCTTGATGTTGTTAATAGTTTTGAAAATTTCAGCTGCACTTATGCATCTACCTTACTTTACTGTCGAATAGCTAGTACTCAATAAAAAAAACTTCAAAAACTAAATATAAGAACAACATGATAGTGGCAAAAGGGGGAAAATCATATATACAAGCCTGAATCTTTTCTGGCTTTCTTTTTGCACCAGCAAAAGTTGGGTCAGATGGCAGTAATATGATCTTCTTTACATTTAATGAATGGCCTGCATGGGTGAGGGGGCATAAGCCATGAGAATAGCAAAACATCTGAGGAAATGATAGTCTCCGCTCCCAGGCCACGTTGATGTTCTTAGGGCTTTGTCACTCATTCCTTTCCCATGAAAATTTGTTGGGGAAGGACTGGATGACGAGCCAAAAGAACATCTGCGTGGGAGGGTAGAGGCAATGAGTGTTATACAGACTATTGAGAATAGAATGAACCAGCCAGATGCTCGCGTTACCATGACCTCCAAAAGGAACCGATAACAGCTCACTGTTTTGTTGATAGGTAACTGGACCAAATGGTTTCCCCTCAACCAAAAAGAACATTTTGAATAGGGATGAGGGCTAGGAGACACCTCTGGTCCTGTTTATTTATCTGTCGCATGGTGACCTGTGGAATGTGACAGGTAAAAAACCCCATTGCCCTTAGTAACAAGGGTGTCTGACTGTGAGTTAATTTGTTAAAAGGTCACAAGTTCGATACCAGTAAATTGAGATTCCAAATTTTTTCATTGCCCCACACTTTTTTAAAATTAAAGCAAGTGATAATTAACACAGAATGACACATTATTATCTGGACTGGAAATAGCCTTTCGAAGAACAGTCAGGCAGCAACGCATTTCCTATTATTGCCAAAAAAGGTCAAATAACAGAGTTCTTTGGGCTACTGTGTATCTCCTAAATAAAATCTAGAGTTTTCCCTACTATATATTGAGCTAAACTCTTTAAAACAATGAACCAATAACCTACTGTTATATAATAATAATTATTATACAAAAAAAGTATGGAATATAAAAGTAAAAACTGAGGATGAAGCTGCGCAGTTACAGTGTTTACTGCAATGAATTTTTTTTTGTGCTGTCATATTTTAATATTCAAAAATTTCTTCATAAATAGCAAATTCACATACTATTACCCTATAGAAGAACTTGATAGTGTACTGAAAAAATGACACTAAATAAATACCTTATTTTGTGGCATACTGCCATAGTACATAAACCTGCAACAAATAATTAAGGCTATTGAAACATGTTTCTTTAAAGTTTCCTGCATCCTTAGATGATTCATTGAGTGAACAAGTTGCTTTGTCACAAGTTATTCTTTCTATTTACTTCTTAACAATTAATTTTAGGTAATGATAAGAACATCTTGCACATTTAGTTAGGTAGCTATTCACACATTTATTTTCATTAAATCAAAATTAGTGACTTAAATTTTCTTGGATCTGCTCTTATCAATTCAATATATATATATTACAAACTGTAACCATGTTTCCAGATTTAACTATCTAGTGTAGCATTATTAATTTTGCAAAAATTGAAGTCATTAATTAGTGATTAATATTATTGATATTATTGGCTATAAACGATGATTCAGGGAATTATAATTCTGACCAGTGTTTGTAACCTGTATGAGATGTTAAGTAAAAAACATCAAAATAAAAATAACTTAATATAATGAAAAATAATATTCATATTATACAGTTAATATATTGTTTAAATTGCTTCTGCAGTAGCTATCTTCTTGATTCTGATGTAACTGCTGGCAATTCCTCCTCATGAATGTAACTTCTTATCATTGCAAGGCACTGTTCATACGTACAAAAAATAAGGGCTACAGACAAACCAGCCTGAAAAAATAAAGCAACTGACAATTATTTATGCTAGAGTATTCAGTATCCATAAATAAGCTTAACTTGGTCATGTTTCGAATTAAAACCAGGGCTGTGCTCTAGCAGAGCCCAGTGGCCCCTGGCGCCTAACTTTTACCCTCGGGCGACTAGAAAATCTCAGATTTTTCATACAAATCATATGCTGGGCACCCTTGATTTTACAGTTTCAGAGCACTGGGTTCCCTTATAGTTTCCTTAGAGCACAGCCTTGAAAACATACAGCTGCTTGCACAACAAGCTGTAAACTATGCCTTGTTTGCAATCTGCTTTTGTCATGGGTGAATCATTTTATTGTTTTCTCTATCATGAGACTGAAACCTCGCCTTGATTCTAGATAAACAGTTATGGATTCCTGATACTCGATTCTTGCAGGAAACTAGAAAAATCACAACCCTGGGAACCTTCATGAGATTTTTAACTGTGTCACTCTGTATGTCAACTGAAGCAGTGTGAGTCCTGGAAAGGCCTGAAAGTCATAGAGTTTTGTTTTCAACTACATAACTAGATAAGATTCATGGCCAGGACGACAGAATGGTATCACTGCATCTCTCATTTTCTACTTACTCTTCAAGCCCGGCCCTTCCCCCCTTATAGTGCTCTAATAATTCTATGTGGGTGTGTCCTTCTGGAACCCTGGAACCCCTTACTATGTTAGCCTTCACCAGACCTTGTACAGCTGAATTTTGCAGCCCTATTTAAGACCAGGTGCCAAAAAGTGCTACCCTATCCTAGACTTAACCTATTCATTTCTTCATACCACTCATACATGTAAAATAGACATAGGTCATACGTGGTATGAAGAAACACCCCATTCTAAGCCAAAAAAAGCTGAACCACAACAAAAACTACTGGAGTTTCCAGTAATTGTGTTATCCAATAAAGTCCTTATTATTATTATTATTATTATTATTATTATTATTATTATTATTATTATTATTATTATTATCAGGTCAACTTAAAATGACTTTTTGCCTTTTTCTTAACTCATTCTGTTATGGTTTGAAAGTTTTCTTCCTGGACTATGAAGACAAAGTTGTCCTTGGCCTTTAAAAGTGGATCTGCAAGGGCAGTTATAGGTGGTTGAGGGGCAAATTGGTTAAACTCCGTGAAAATTTTTTATTTTTTCTGTGGCACATTCTCATCCTTTGCCTCTACCTGGTTTTCAAGCTTATGATTACATCAGCCAAGGCATTGTCCCAACAAAATTCAGGGGATTAAGAGTGATACCTTAAGTGTGCTGGGAGCAAGTCCTTTAAAGAAGCCAGCTGCGCCCTCTTCCTTTGCAATAACCTTGAAGCAGTCAATCATACCACTGTATGACTGAACTCTTCCAAAACTCTCTCTAGCTTGATGAAAGCCTTGCACCTTTAAAAAATGGGGAGCACCATTAATTGATCATCACTACATTTTTAATGTATGGCACTGTAGCTATGACAGTCAGGAAGAATTATCAGATGAATGGTTCATATGCATCACTATGGGTTTATTCTGTCTCTTAACCTGATCTGATCCCTGATTACCTTGTGGTGAATGTGATGACACTCATTTCTGAAGCTGTTCACCAAAAAATGATAACGAAACAAGAAACTAGAGGATCAGTGGGTATATACAGTGTGTCTATCCCTATAGTTAGTACAGGGTTTGTAGCCTTTAAGGACTTCATAACTATTCCACAACATGAGCAATTTTATCCTGAAGGTCTCACTGTGTTTGCTCCTTTCACTTTGGGTTGGATAAAGTTAGCACAGAAATTCAAGGACTTTCCACCACCAACTGCAGTTTTCAAGGACTTTCAAGGCGTCAAATTAATTTCAAAATTCAAGAACTTTCAAGGACTTTCAAGTTGCGTGGAAACCCTGTCAGTACCTATATCCTCCATACTGTTTTCCATACAGTCCTTATGGTTCTGATGAGGAAAATTTGTGTAACAGTCACAGCCTAAAAAATTATTTGTTGGAGATATTTCCTTTAGCTTTTGCTTAAACAGTCATAATTTATTATAAGGAGAAATTGGATACTAAGATAGATATCAATCAAAAGATTATTCAAGCATGGTTTCCAAAATTATCCAGCTTCTGGCAAAAATCACCACCAACTTTGAGTTTTGGACTTGCTACTCTGCTGGGATATTCCTCTGAGTTTTTATCATATTATTAACACGTGACAAAAGTAGCAGCAGTTAACCTACTTCAGCGATATAAAAGCTGACCATGCATTTTCTTGACAATAAATTTGGCTCACACATAGTTTTTTAAAAAACTAAAATACAGTAGAACCTCCCATAAGTGACCACACAAAATGCAGAGATTAAGACGGTGGTGCTTACGAGAATAAAACTGAGAGGTGTTTTATCCAAGAAAAGGTCCATGACACATTCCCTTTTTTGGAAGAGAATAAGTTACACGCAATTATTTTTGTACCTTAAGTTACTTGTAAGTGTAGTTCCATGTTGTCACTCAGTTTTTCACATTCTCCAAGTGATGTAAAACCCAGGTCCCATTCAGGATCATTATACTGGGAATTTAGGATCATTATACTGGGAGAACCGACATGAAACTTGATTCACTGAAATTCCTAACCCTAATCACTAAACTTCAGCAGCACAGTCCATTTTAGGGTAATCCATATGGGTAGTCCATGGGAATACTCCATGGACTAGGGGGTCAATGTTTTGTCCACCACTGGTCGCCCATGGAGGTTCAACTTTGTACATGACCTACATCGATTGTGACATTTATAAGCTAACACACCTGCAGTCTCTTTTTGACCATGTCAAGAGGATAAATAACTCCTTTACCACATATTCCTGATAATCCACCACAAACAAGGCTCTCCTCGACACCAGCTGCTTCACCAGGACCTCTCTGTAAATAATTTTGCTGACATCAGACATAATGAACTTGTAAGCTCTAATCATTAAAACTTTATGACAAGTGTCAAACAAAGCCCTTGGGGAACTTGCCCTTTTTAGCAAGGTTTGTTTATTAGTTTTTAAATATTAAACTCTCTAAGTGGAAGAAAGAACAAGCATTCCAGAAATTCTCACAAAAGACTGTATCCTTAAATGCCTAATGGGTAAAGGCATCAAAATCCTCTGTTGCTAGTTTAAGAATTTTACACGAAATTTCTTGAGAAAAATAATTGAGTTTGAGGACAGAACATTTATGTTGGAAGAAAAATTAGCCAATTAAGTGTGAGAAAACTACATGTAAACTGTACAGAGCAGTGGTTATTTATAGTATGTAGTTTTGTGGTTTCCATAACTTCCATGCCTTTAACTTTATTCTGATTGGCCAGTAAACAAATCAACATTCTTGAAAATTTTCAGGTGTGGTGACTGTTTTTTAAGTGTGACAAGTTTCTTAATTTTTATTATCCTATTAACATTTTTTTTACATGGCTGCATAAGCTATATTAGCTTTTAAACCCACTAATGTTGAGTTTAATTTGAGGTTTTGATCTGTCTGATATACTTATGATTATTACATATTTATAAATAAGTAAATATATGTAAGTCAAGTAACAAATGCTGCAATGTCCAACGTGAAAAGCTCAAGTGACTGTGACATGAGAAAATTACAAGGGTTTAATTTCTGACTATGACTGCATTCATCAATGTACCTTGGAACTAAAAATGACTTCCCATAGAGTCTTGAAAAAGGTATAAAATCCAAACTGTAGACCAGCATGTGGAAAAATTTGAACTAGAGTTGGCACCAGCCCTACAGGATAAAAAAAGAAAGGGGGATCGTTAAATACAAAGTATCTCAAAGGTGTTTGATATTACTGTCTAAACAAGGTACATCCTTCAAGTGCCACCTACATTTCCTTTCATCTAATCCTATGATCCTAAAAGCTTTCCCCATACTCTTTTCTTACCAAAATGAAGCCTACTAAATGCCCAGCAAAAAGAAAAAAAAAAACAAGGCAGAAAAGAAAAAGAAGAGGGGAGGAGAGAAAGCGAAAAAGAAAAATGAAGACTGCTGTGTCACTTTTAAACCTAAAAACTAACTCGAAATTTTGCTTTCTGCACATACCTGAACTTTGAAAACTAATATTTTGCATCTCGATCAGAAGACCGCAAACGTACAACCTGTAAACTGCTTTGTGGTAAGTTCTATTTCTTTATAGCCAGACAGTGACCAAAACACCTTTTTTGGCAAAATTCCTGAGGGCGAATCTGTTAATTTGAGATTTTGGGGGGTTTCTTTGCAAGTCTGAGCAATTTTTTGGGGTTTAAATTTAATAGGCACACTAGGGAGCACAACTGAAGAAATTAACAGTAATTAAACCTAGACAAATTAATTTATAACCAATTAAAGGGAAAACAAACTGATTAAGGCCTTATTACCTCTGTAAAATGATGTGGGTCCCTCACTGCGATACATTTTGGAAGCGGCTTCATAAAGATTCTTGTACATCTAGAATGAAATACATTTTTTTTAATTCACATATTTACGAAAGAATAATAAAACGTTTTCAAAAGATTTGCATAGCAAAAGGATGTATTCCAAAGACCTAAGAAGATGTGCAGCAATGCAGATCTAATTTTTGAGTCTATAAACAAAGTCACATATTATGTGACCAATTGCAACTGCCTCGACAATACCCTCTTTCATTCTCCATACAAACGCTACACTAGCAGAGCAGATACTTTCAGGGGATAGGATTTGTCTAAGTATTCTTTTAGTTTAAACTAAGTCTAAAATTGACACAACAAAGAAAAAATCCACTTAGTATGTACAGAATATAATGGGTGTTTTGTATATAAAGAACAATAAAACAAACAAGTAATTATGTGTATAATTAATGTATTTTATTGTATAAATAGAGGATATTACATCGCACGCGGAGACACAAAATTTCTCTTTGAGTGTTGAAAAATGTCTCACGAGTGAACGCAGCGAACGAGTGAAATATTTTTTTCAACACGAGAGGACATGGAAATTTTGTATCTCTAAGCGGACATGTAATCTTCTATTTATGATATAAACACCTGTGAAATACCAAACCATTTTACGTAAACAGTTTTTTGGTGTGAAAAGGGGCAATTTATTATGTAGCCATAGCAACGGTGATATTTTCACATGTGAAGATAACATGTTATATTTTCATATGTGAGGATATCAAGTTTTCGTGTGAAAGCTCACTTGGTATTTTATTGGTGTTTATATAATAAATCTGTATTAACAGTGATTAGAGTGATTGGTGTCATAAGCTCTCGTACGTATTCACCTATACTCTATTCTTCTGGTGGCAGCTTACGTGGATTATTCCCGTAACACACCAGCCTCAGATGCAGACACTTTTCCTGCTTCCCAAGGGTGTGGGTTAATCTGTGCGAACTTTGACTGCTCACTCATCCCCAGTCATCTCTTATCATTTGTAGGAGGAATGGTCATGGGAGACTATTACGGCATCTCAGCAAAGAGGACGATGGGAAGGATAGAGGGAAAAGAAAGAGATGTCATTTCCCCTTTTCCCTCCTTCCCATGTCCCCCCGCAGGCATCTTCCCCACCCATCCCTCATAAATATATTATTAGAAGACGAAAGAGACGACTGGGGATGATCAAGTCAGCTTTGACTGTACATTTACCTTAGGCTCACCCTGAGCAACAAGCCTTGTTCGAATAACATCTAGAGGTTGTGCAACTGTACTTGCAAGACATCCAGCAATTCCACCACAGACAAAGTGAGTTACTGTGTTTGAAAGAACAAACACGGAGATCCTTCAGTATTAATGATCACAAGAAATTACAGATGCAAAACAAAATGATATTATTACTTTAACAAATCATTTGATAATAGGCATTTGTTTTACTGCCTCAATTTCACTGTTTCATTAAAAAGTTTTAAAAAGACTTGAAAAAATAGGAAGTTTCATGTGTATTCATCAGGGGCTGGTCATTTATTACCTGTGGGTGGGGGGTTATTTTGAGAAAGCTTAGAAGATTTTCAAAACAACCTTCAATTCATCCTAGCTACTCTTGATAAAATTGCATACTTGGAAAGCAATGCTCCTGCCCCTGGAAGCAGTGTTCTTGTGTCTTCAAAAGAAAGTCTGATCTCTGAGCATTTGTAGGAAGCAACTTTGAGCTGGGAGAAGGGTTAACTTTATGCAAAGCCATTGATTTGGAAAGAGTTCTGTTGTATAAGATAGTGCGCATAGAGGAAAAAATGTTCTCAAGTAGTTTTGTCAGGGATTGTAACTTTTTAAAAGTCACCCTCAATCAATTTCAACTATTGTGAAAGTGATTGACCCATATCTGATTGCTGTGGGAATTACAAAAGTTAATATTCTAGCTATAAATTGTGTAGTCTGAAGAATAGGCATTATTTTTTTTGTGTTTTCCAAGGTAAGAGCTTGCCTTCTCTTACCTGAAAAACATTACAAAAAATAATAACACTACCTGTTCTGTTAGCTACAAATCATGCAAAAGTTCACCACATACTTTATCCACGTCACATTTGTAATATTGGCGATTAATATTTATGGCTATTACATTCAATTTCAATTCATGCTGGATACTGCTAAGTACTGCTTTTGTGTCTTATGACACCTTAAAGTGCTTAAATTTTTTTTTTTAAAATAACAATTAAATCAAAGCTTTTGCTGATCAATGGCATCATTGTGATAACTATTAAAATGACTCCCATGTTACACTCCGTTATCTGGAAATGACCCCCCCCAGCAAAATGGCCGGCCCTCTATCAAAGATAATAAATGACCAGCGCCTTAAGTTATGAGTTATAACCTGGCTTCCACTTTGGAGAGGTACAGGTGGGGTATGCTCTCCACATAACCTCTGTGACAGCTTCAAATGCCATGAACTGAATCAAAGACAAGACACAATCTTTTATTATAATCTAGCGATCATACCAGTCAAGTGTCAAGCCAGCTAGGTGAAAGTACAAGTGTTAAAATACAACACATGCAGCTATCATCACAGCATTACAAGACCTCTTGTGATTCTATTTTGTGAGTATCAAACAAATAAACAACACAACAGAACCTATATGATTGGGAGTCCTCATAGTATATAACATTTTTTGCATGACACTACAACCAGGGTTCTTCAGAGTAAGCAGCATCTGATTAGATTGAATGGCACACCTTTCATGTGGCACAGCTGTGAGTAGGGGTAGGTATGAGGGGAGGATGCCCCTCTTTCACTGGGGGAGTCAGGAGCTTCCCATGGAAAAATCTAAACTTAGGGGTTAATGAAAAGTGCATTTCAGGGGATTTTGAGCGATGAGAGAGAGAAATGTTTGCCATGAGGGTGATAGCTTTATTTACCTGCATTCACATCATACTGTAGGTTTGCCTTTATCAAACAAAAGTGTTGAAAAAATAAGATGGACTATTTAGAAATCCCACTTCAAATGTTATTTTATGTAAGAGCTTCTAACAGAACCCTTTACAAACTCAGACTCAAGGTCTCTTTTTTACCTGTCAGAGGATGCTCCAAAGGGTGGGAAGACAAGATACACTAGGAATGAAGTTTGAGGTCTGGTTTGACATAAATAAGATATCTATGCTGATCATTCTCTTAATTCTCACAGCCTTTTAAAACATATGATTAGGCAGGGCTCAAAAAAATTTTGAATTAAAGGTTGTTATTTGGCCAAGCAGCACTCATATTTTGCTTACCCAGGGCCAATTCATGCTCGTCTTATTTAATGATTTTGTTGTAAGATGACTTGCTGCGAGCCTTACCCATTAGGCAAGTAAACTTTAAAAGCTACTTGCCCAGCAAGAAAATCCCATTATTTTAGATTTCATTTTGCAGTTGGTATGTTTGTGCAAAAAAGGCCATATTGATGATAAAATAAACACTTACTTGAACAGATCCATATACCACTGATAGAGCTTGAGCTGGTACATGACCTTTCCTGGTTAAATAAACAAAGTGCATTATTTTTTATACAAACTAGTAAGTTTAGCTGCCTAAAGCTCATGTATAAAATAGGAAATTTTCTTCCAAAATAGATAATTTTGTATGTGTTGGATAAAAATATGCTCAAGTTGAACCAATTAACTTCAAACTTTTGTACATGCTGCTTTATATAACTTACCAAAGAGAAGCAAATCCTTCTTCCTTATACACTAATCTTAATGCCTGCCATATTCCTGAGTATTTACCTCTTGAAATACCCTGTAAGAGACAGAGAAAAGAATCATGTTCCCTGGAAGATAATTTAAGATTAATTTAAAAATATAATAATAATTATTAAATTATTTTTTTATAGAAATTATTTCTATATTTACTAGTACTGCAATAAGCATTTTGTACATTAAATTGAGTTTTCAAAATCTAAACTCAAGTATCACCAATTTCACCAATAATCATTAGAGGTGCAAACAGTCTAATAAAATTAACTAGAACTCAAATAAAGCCAGTGAACAAGAGTGTAAAATATTATTAATGTAGCTGTCATCAAGAGAAGAACTAAATTCATGTGAGTTTTCTTTCTTTTAGGGTGACCTTGAAAAGAGGTGTGAGAATTTCATGTCTACAAATCAAAGAGCATAGGCAAGGTCATGCATGCCAGAGTGATTTTGACATTAAACAGAAGCAATCAACAATTTATAATGAACATCATTCATGTTAGATAAAGGGTGTTGTGGTTAAAGCTGAATTTAATGCAACCAACAAATAGCAAATGTACAATATTAATTTTACAATGATAGATAGACAAATAAAGAATTGAATGTTTAGAATGATTTTTGGCCATTTTGCCAGCAAGCTATTTCTCCAACTTCGAGTTCCCCTATATTTTTGGTCTTTTCACCAATGTAATGCGCAGGCCAGACAACCTGTCAGCCACAAAATGATGCCTTGATTTTTGAAATACTTACTAAGTACTTAAGTTCTGGTATACATGAGCAGGGGACCTCGGCAAGCTCTGCTGAGCTTTTCAGAGGAGATTCCCGACTTCACTAAACCATTAAATTACTATCATACAATTGGTGCTTAATATTACAATATAACCTCCATTATGAAATGATGCAACTCATCAATTTTTGGTATTTTTACTGTAAGTGATACTGTTAACAGGGCTGTCATGAATACCAGTTGTATTAGAAAACCGCAGGTCATCTCAGGGGGGGGGGGGGTGCACACCCCCTGCACCCTCCCCCTAGATCCGCCCCTGCCCCAGCTACTATGAACGTGGCCCCCAGCTACTTTCACCGGAAAATAAAAGAAAAATAGAACCAAAAGAAATTCCTAGCTGTTTGATTTGCTGCATACTTGTTGTATTTACCCGGCAACTTGAAATGTTAGTGATAACCCTAACTGTATACATTTCTTAATCATCAAATATTAAATATTTGATGATTAAGAAATGTATACAGTTAGGGTCTTTAAATTTTAAAGCCGCCATAAGATTTCTGATTTCTTAAGTTTTCAGGTAGATTGTTCCATCACGCAGAGTGCAATACATATCTTATGTACACTATTGTTCCCTGACTTTTCATTTAAATCTGGCTCTCATTTCACCTCTTAGTTTTGCTTTGAAAACGTCCGCATAAGTAATATGTTGGTATTGTATTAACCATTTTCACATAAATAATACACCTTTTTCCCCAAAAGATTTTGTCAAGCATTGTTCTTTCTGTCTCTGGGGACGACTTTAATACCCAGGAGAAAACTGAAACAATGGTTGTACAACTTTTGATTATTATTTTATTTGCTTCTTTTGTTTTGTTTCGCTTTTTTTTAAGGGGGGAGAGGGTATATTGGGCAAAGTCCTTTAAAAATCAGCAATCCATTGAATCTTAATTGAGAACCAAGTTAGGTCAGTTATAGGTGAGCTCTGTGTTAAATACCTTTGTTGTAGGTTCAATCTGTAACTGAAATCGTATTTTAAGAACATCGAGAGGCTGTACCACCACACGCGTTATTACACCAGATGAAGCTCCGCAAAAACCACATTGCAAAGAAGACAATTGCTCCTTATTTTTTGGATCAAAACCCACCATCTTTTCACTGAAGACATTTTTCGCTCCCATTCACTTCCCAGGGGTAAAAAGTATATCTATGAACCATACAATTTGATAGAATAACTATGTCATAGTGGCCAACTGCTCTGGCTCGCGCTGATTCCGCCATCTTTGAAGCGAATTAAGAGAGGGAGAACTAAGTACTAATGGCATTCCCGCGGGATCTTAAACTAGCCACGTGACTATTCTTTGTTTACCTGATTGGTGTAACGGTGGTAGAGTCACCGGATCACCTTTCAAATCAAAAGAATCTCATTTTTCGTGATCCGATATCTCGCTGTTTTACCACGATCGTTGAAATTTGATAAACTGTGGTATGCTAAATTGTATTTTTGACCTTGTTTGAAATGTAAAATATGTCTACTCCAACCAAAGCAAGGAGTAAGCGGGCACTTCCGAGGGTTCCTCTGGAAAGGGCCGCCAGCGTCGATCGCATAGTAACAGGGACGCTGAAATCTGCTCGAAGGAAAGTTGATGTTCAACTTGAACCTACAGGCGCTGATGTGACAAAATACAGAAGCCGTTCAACATCACAACCGCAGCAAACGAGTGCACTGAACATGAATTCGAAGCTTCGATCAGAGCCGTTTTCTAGAAGGAAAGATCTGTCTTCAAGCGAGAGTGGTTCGGGCAATAGTTCACCTTATAACTCTCCTCGAGAAACAAGGAAAGCCACTGTGGCACCTATGGTAGCACAAATCATCGATAAATTTAATAATGGCTCCCAAGAAACAAAGTCTGAGGAAAGATTCGAGGTTAAAGAAGAGTCCTTTGGCACAGAGAAGAAGATCGCGCGCGTTCTTCCAATGACACCGCATTTTCTCGATGAACATACCACAAATGAACAGCCGCCATGCACTAAACAGAGTGATATCGATTCGATAGCTGATTTAAAAATCACTAATCTACAGTCAATGGAAAAAGTCAATAGTCACGGCGATGAAAAATTAAAAGGCTCCTTTATTCCTCCCGGGAAAGAAAACGTTCTCGGTGTGATTCAACCTAAAATGGCCGGAACACCATCGAGTGTTACACAAACACCATATCAACCACTTGCCGACGAAGCCGAAGGATCCAGCGTCCGAGTCGGTGTAAGAGTTCGACCGTTTTTACCAAGGTGAGTATAATATTTGTACTTGTATTTAGAGTATGTGTGCGAGCGAGCGATCGATCGATTGAGTAATGTTGACTTCAAATATAAAGAGAGAAAGATCTCTGATCTAATCGGCTAATGAGTTTATTTGTTGTTTATGTGATATTTTATTATTCAGAAAGTGATAACTTTTGCACGTTGTTGGCAATATCGCCTATACTATACAGATATATATATATATCGACCAATATCGTAATTTTCCCAAGGTGACGTTGCATGTCTTGTCTTCCAGCCGATTTTGAAGTAAGATGTAGCTGTACAGTACATTTCAAACACTGCAACACGTTTTATCGGTGATCTGTGTGACAGAAACCACAGGAACCGGATTACATGTTTGCCTATCAAAGATTTGAGTCAACACTTTAACCTCCAATTTCGAATCCTATAAAAGGCTTTAAGAACAACAAAGATTATCTTTGACCCGTTCGCAAGTAATAATTTTTTTAATAAACTTTGTTTACATAATCAAAATTCCTGCGAAATGGCGATGGAATTAAAACCTCATTAATTCATTGCTATTCAATAAAAACGATCAATGCCTTTGTTTCTTTTAATTACAAAAGGATTTAACAGCGGCTTATGGTAACCGGAGGCCCAGTATTGGATGCTATTTGTTGTTTTCTCTTTGTCACTCACAGGAGCTTAAATGCCTTCCTTCTGAAGTTTTTCATTTAATCATTCCACTTCCCTGTCTACAGACTGATTGGTTCTTTGGATAAGCTGCATTATTTGCGCTAAAAAGTTTCCTTGACATGTCTTCATAGGTACTGAAGGTGAAAAAATGGAAGAACAAATTATTGGAAAATTCTTGCAGATTTGATGTGAGATTTGGATCTCATTTTAGCTTTGCATTTTCAGATGACACCCCTTTCTAGGGATCAGTGAACTTCTAATACTGCATTTTATACCTCTTAAATTGACATGTAGATTAAATAGAAGTTCTAAATTCGTGACCATGTTTTGTACATGTTTTGTACAGTAGGTATTTTGGAGGGGAGCCCTTTCCTGGACTCTATTCTCATACAGTCGAACCTCCACTAACGGCCACCTCTCCACAACAGCCACCTCTCAACAACGGCCAGTTTTTTTGTCCTGTTGGATAGTCCATACATTAGGGAGTTTAAGATACCACGACGGCGACAGCGGCAAAAATGTCGCTTAAAAAGTGACTTCTCGATCTATGAAACTTTAGCGCAATTATCCCAACTCGGTCACTATGTTTTATGTAGGCGAACTCTCCTGGAGTTGAATTCTGAAGAAAAATATCCAGGTTTACAAAGAGTAAAAGAGATTCGTTGTCGTATGTTCACGTTGTTGATAAAACGTGAAATTAGGCAATTCACGTCGTAGTCGTGTAGTGACGGCAAAGAAATGTACAAAAAAGCGTGATGCACTTGCAAAGTTGTTGTTTGGCTAATCTTAACCAACTGCTTTTTGACGTTCTCGTTGCCGTCGCCGTAGTGGCATCTTAAACTCCCTATTGACTCTAGTTAAAACCTCTTTACAAAGGCCACCTCTCTACAACAGCATTGGCCACTAAAGCGTGTCCTTAATTGCCAAAATCTCTTGACAGAGGCCAGTTTTGACAGCAGCTGATGAAAAAGTCAAGAATAGTAATGAAATTTGATCCATATGCACCTTGATGATTAATCGTGGCAATAGTATTTTGATTGTGTTCCATTCATACTGCTGTAGTGAGCTTAAAAATTGTCTACGATACCGCTTATAGTGAAAGCTACCGTAACATTTTAAGTCAAAACATTTATTCAAGTTTTTTTTTTGTATTTTAACTCTAGATATTATTTACGATTTGATTACCACTAAAGGGTACAGTAAGCATGAACTTGCATAATAAATATGTTGTAGGTCCCTAAAAAAATTTGTCGCATTACACCCCTACCTGCCCATGACTGCCACCTCTCTACAACGGTCGCTTTCGTCTGTCCCCAAGGTGGCCTGTATGGAGAAGTTCTACTGTATGTTTACTGTATCTCTGCTGTAGACACGTACAACAGGTCTGTAAATTATTTTGTTCCTCCACAGGGAAGAAAATGACCCCAATGTCAAGAATTGTATTTCTATGAAAGAGAACAAAACTGTAATCACATCTGATGCTGGAATGGAATATGAGTTTGTTTATGATTATTCTATTTGGTCATGTGATCCCAAGCACCCTGAGTTTGTAGGACAAGAGAAGCTGTATAAATTGATGGGTCAGCCACTTTTGAACAGTGCTTTTGAAGGATACAACACTTGTCTCTTTGCGTATGGTCAGGTAAGGCTGAGCAAAAATCATTCATACATTTTCAAGAGGGAGGTGTGTTCTTTAGGCCCATTTATATGGAGAAGAGTTGTCCTGGGAAAACGGGTCACCCGCCTACCCGAGCTACCCTGGGCACTCCAACTATTTCTTTACAAACTGTGGTGAACCATTTACATGAGAAACAAATAGATGGCTTGGGTAGAAGGGTGACCTGCCTGGGCAGGTCACCCTTTTATTGGTGGGGTCACCCCCCTAGCCAGGCCAAAGTTTCTTGATATAAACACCCTGGATTGCTCAGCTGGGTCAAACTGGTCTAGGCAAGACAATCAGAGCATGCATTAGTGCTGTTGGCTTGGGCAAAGGGTTGACTGTTTTTTTCATATGAATGTTTGCAAAAATTGACCTGACTGGGAGGGTGTTCCTTCAACCTGGGACATGTTTTCTCCATATAAATGTGGCCTTAGTTTAAAGCATTACAGAGAAACTATAGTGATTTTAGTAAGTACCTTAATACTTTTGCAGGCTCATTTTTTTATAATCCACTGATGCACCTTTAGACTGTGGTTTTAGTGAGAGCCATTTTGTTCCTTATTTTCTCAGATCTTTAGCCTACATTGCAGGTGTTTTTCTATGGGTGCACAAAATTAATGTTTCTGAAAACGTAACCACTCTGGTGAAACTGCCATTTTGAATTCCAAAAAGGAGAGGAGTTTTCTACTCTTTCAAATCTTTGTTTGATATTCAATAATTATAAAAGATGCAGGAAGCTGCGGTAATACAAACACAAATAGGGTTCACTTTAAGTTCCGGCAAATGACTGAAAAACCAGCCGAGCCGCCTACTTTTTGGGGAAAAAGGGATAAGCTGGTGAGAGGGTAAAAGCCTGAAATTGCCTCAGCACTCAGTTACCAAGCCACCTACTTTTACACCTTAGCTGTGTGCTTTAAAATTTAATGAGAACCCTGCATAAACAAGCAACGTTTGTCCACCTAAAAATACTCCTGCAATACAGGCTAAAATAGATTTTCAGGGAATCAATAACCAATGAAAGCATGATCGCTCAATTGTGCTTCTCCTCCAAAGAAGTTCTTAAAAATTAATAATGTATTAGATTTTATCTTTGCGATTATTGTTGCATCCTTAGTTTATTTGTCTATAATTTTAATTTTAATTATGTTTTTTATGTGTTTTTCAGACTGGATCAGGAAAGTCATACAGGTTAGAGTCCTATTACCTTGTTTTTCCTGCAGGTGAAAAAGACCTTGATTATGCATCCTTGAATTCTCCTTCAAAATCACTTGACACAAAGTTTCATATCACAATATCAAACATGGAAAAGTGCACTGCTTCATCTTAACTTTCTGCTTGGTGTTTGATATGATATTAAACACACTGCACTGCTGTCTTGCATGTGTTTGTCTCTTTTAGTATACTGTCAAACCTTTATATAGCGGCCCTGTATGTATAGTGGTCACCCTGTATATTACGGTCACCAGACAACTTCCAAAGATTTTCAGTTCACCCTGTATATTACAATCACCTTGCCATTTGCCAAGGGTGATCACTGAACACATGTTTAACTGTATCTGGAAAACACAGCCCCTTTTTTTTTCTCAGCAGCCCAGCATCATGCTTTTTAAAAAGATAATTAGCTAACATTATTAGTGCGGTAACAACTTATTTGCTTGATTGCTGCCAAACTAGAAGCCCACCTAGTGCATGTCATTTATATGGTATGAATTAATGTACAGGCAAAGATGTAGGAATTTTCTCAAGTGATAATAATAATTATAAGTAACAACAACTGAGTATTAAATTAATTTCAGTATCATGGGTCAAGGAGATGAACTCGGCATTTTGCCAAGATTCTGTGAAGAGCTTTTTGAGAGGATCAAATGTTGGAATGAGGTATTGATTTAGTTCTTTTTAAAGGGGCTTTGAGCAGTTTTGACAGCACTGGGGTAAATGTATCAGTACAAGTAATATTGGATTATTTTATATGTTTCACCAGTAAGCTAGTATTTTCCTCAAAAAAGTGTCTGGGTTGCTAATTTAAAATTTTGGCTAACAGGAGAGGTGCTTATTGGAAGAAGGGCGCTTAATCGAGGGGGCACTTATTATTACATTTTTCTCCTGTTGATAATCAAGCATACCATAGTCCCAATTATCATATATACACTTAACATAAAGATGTGTCAGTGAAATGGTGAAGTTGAAGCTTAAGAATAATTATTATTTTATTTTAGCTTAAAATAATAATTAACCCTCCCCTCCCCTCCCCCTTTAATAATAATAAATGGGGAGGGGAGGCTTATTTGAGAAGGATGCTTGTTTGGTATTTGGGCCTAGGGGTAGGGCTATTGTATGGAGGAGGGTGCTTATTAGAGCATGCACACCTATTTGGAGGTAATATGGTTTTAACTGTAGATTTATTATCTATATTGAGGTTGACTGCTGCCAGTTCTGGAAACCTCAGCAGAGCAAAGAGACTTACTATTTCTGTCAGAAACAGATTACATGAATTATTAAACAGGAGTATCCACTTTGCAGCCCAGAATAACAAATGTATCCATATTTATGTTTTAATATTCAATATAGCTCCAGTTCACGGTGGAAATAAGCTACTTTGAAATCTACAATGAGAAAATCCATGATTTATTAGCTCCTAGTAAGAAGAAAGATGGCAAAAAAACTCAGGTAATTGTACAAATTACAATGTAAGATGTGTTTACAGCCTGATGCTCTCGCCATGTAGTTACATTGCATACATTTACAAGAAAGATCAAAGGGCTCCTGTACATGTGGCCCCAGATCACGATAAAAATAACTCAAAAACTTATTGAAAAAAAAAGGGAGGGAGGCTTTCCCTTGATTTTACCTCTGGTAACCTGAATGGGTGTATACCCACCAAATACAGTAAAACCCCACGTCTAAGAACCTAGATTTTTCCAAGTCAGCCTGAACAGGTTCTTATATAAATGGTGCTTAACTTGAAATCAGGCTATCTAGGTTCTTAAATGGGTTCATAATTTTTGGTGAGAAAAAAAGTACTTGTATTAATTGGTGGGCGTGGCCTTTTATTTTAAATTATTCACACACACACACACATTTTGATGCTAGTTATATGGAAAAGTAGATTGCTTGAACATTAAAGGCATATAAATCATACAAAATAGTACTAAGTTATGCACATGTTATTGTTTTCTATTGCACTTTGGAAAATAAGAACCTACTTTGCAATTTCAGCCTGAAATGGTTCTGATGTGAAGGGTGCTTTAAATAAAAATTTCAGCCTGACAGGTTGTTAACTTTTAGGTTCTTATACATGGAGTTTTGCTGTATCACACCCCAGATGTGAATCTTATGCCTGTGATTTTAAAATGTTCATTTAGTGCCAGATTCACTTTCTCAAACATTAAACATCTGGCTCACAAATCTGGCCCATCAGTTTCAACATCGTTTTTGTTTTTGGATGTTTGTGGGAAAAGTCTTCAGGTATCTCCAGAATTGGGAACAGTAGCAACATGGCCTTAATGTTCTTAACATTTCATTTATTCCAGTTGAGGGTCAGAGAACATCCAATTCTTGGGCCATTTGTTCAGGATTTAAGCACGTGAGTTGAACACCATCTTCTTTAGTTGATAACTAAGTACAGATATGAGGCCATGCCAGGGTAAATTCCGACAAGCGACATGGCCCAAAAAGTAGCGACAGTGGGTGAAATAAAATTGCGACAAGAGACAACCTCCCTGGGCCAAATTACGACAGTGACGGCAAAGCCCACAATAAGCAATAAAGCTTTTATAAACACTGACACGAGACATTTTAAAATTCAGACAGGCAACATGGGACCCCCCCTGGCATGGCCTCAGATATGGTTAACTGCATCTACTGCTTGTCACTATGTAATCTCAATTTGTAGTCAGTGACAATGATGTCATTGTGAGTGGCTCAAACAATAAAATCTGTTCTCAAAATTTATTTTGCTACTCTTCAGATACACTGCAAGTTCATATGCCGATGTTGAGGTGAGATTGAAACATTCCTGCCTAAAATGAAGTAGTTATTACTGTTAGATGTACAACTCTTGTTGATGTACTACAGTGTACATTTGAGAGACACAGGAGCAGCATGTAATGGTCAAGGCCTCCTAAGAGAAAATGAAGATGATGATAATGTACACCCTACTTTTGTCGAGAAGATGTTGGGGAGAAGTTTATAATTTGATCTTATTTTTTGATTTTAATGTGATATTTTTATTTTAGTTAATAACCTGTGTCAATAAAATTACATAAACCTCCACCAAAGATTTATTGGAGAGTTTCTACAGGGTTAATGCAGACCTACCTGTGATTGGAGTGTCAAGAGAGGCACCTCATATTTGCATACTAACAGTTGTTTTTTAAACATTGATTTTACATCAATGTGTTTCTGTAGTCATGGTTAGCTGTGGGTAACAGCATCAGAGCCACAGCTGCGACAGGGATGAATGACAAGAGTAGCCGATCTCACTCAGTTTTTACTATGGTCATGACACAGACAAAGGTATTAGCTAACACCGTTCAACTTCTCTCCCAATTAAGTTACCTGATGAAACATTGGTTAAAGTGGGAGGAGCACCCATTAATAGCAAATTCTTGTATTAATCACCCTTTCTTTCACCAGTGTTGAATGTGAAAAAACTACTAAATTATCTACCATGAATAACATTTTTAATTTTTCTCAGTGATATTATGGTTCACTGTGGGTACAACATGCAAGCATGTGGCAAAATGGCCTCCCAAAAAGAGACAATAATTATTTCCTTAACTCTTGAAATTACTAACGAGTACTTGGAATTGACTTTTTGACTGTTGAAAAATCTGTCAGCAAATGCTTTCTATATTATTTAAAAGTCCTAGTTTAGTTCTGGTGTTCCTGTGCCATGCAATGTTACTTTATAGGTTAACTGTGCCCTCTCCACACCATAAGCAATTTGCTTTTTTTAAAACTTTGTCGTGTTTATAACAACTCGCGTGAAATGTCAAATATAGGTAAATTTCCCTGGAGTTGAATGCTTGGGGACCAAACTCAAGTCCAGAAACCTTCGTCCATAAAACATCACACATAGTGGTCGTACACTGAAGGCAAAGAAATGTACCAAAATGTGTGCTCTATGTGTAAAATTGTTATTTTGCTTATTACTGTTGTCGTCGTTGTTGCTAAACACCCTTGTGTTGCATGACAGCATGACAGGGAGAGGGCCTGAACTGTATAACTGAAAACTCCTGGTAAGCATTGAGATTGCTGTTTTATGATAAATATGTAACCGTAACACGGTTTAATTTTGTGCTGTTCTAGACTGAGATTTTTGAAGACTCTGAGACCCAGATGACCACTACCAGTAAAATAAATCTGATTGATTTAGCTGGGAGTGAGAGAGCAAGCCAAGTACTGAATAATCAGGTGATCAAAACACAGGAGATCGCGGCTCTGAGACTCAAGGTAACAGAAAAATAAAGCTAGCTTGATCAGTCATTTAGCTAACGTCTAACAAAGCACACTTGGCAAACATATTTTGTAAGAGTTTACTACAATCTTTATAAGGAATCACGGGCCATTTTTCGTTGGTTGATTTTTTGGAGGGTTTGCTGCCCGTCCACTAGCGTCCAAGTTTCTTTTTTAAGCAGGCAGAAAACAGAGGCGTCTGTGAAAGGTTTTCTTAATTTCTTGAACAATCAGCGGTGAAAAGTTTAAGCACTGAATGCTGAAACTAACAGTGAAATAGTAGGCGCAGTTATTCTCTACCCTTTCTTCGCCCTTTTAACGCGATAAAATACGGTTTCTTTAACAAACTTTCCTGCGTTAAATTAAGCTGAGGTGATGTTCTGTATAGTTTTGCTTGATTTGGCAACAAAATTCCAGAGAGTAACGCAAGACTGATAGGAGAGAATGTATGAGGGCTGCTAAATTCGATCTAATGGTATATCGTGTACCTGGACAGTAAAGAATGGATGTAACTGCATTTACCACTCAACGAGAACCCAAGCATTATTTTTATCTCAAGCTTGTTTATAACCTGAGTATCAGTTTACTGCGGAAAGTGGCTTTACTTTTTAGATCCCTGAAAAACATTGTTATGGCAACAGTGTTGCGGATAATTAATTTTTTAAAATTTTTATATCATGAAATCAGACACTATGTTATAAAACCACGAGAAAAGCATTTTTGCTTTCCTAAAGGTTGATTTCCACTGACGCGTTTTTGGCTACGCACGTTAATGCACGTAAATTTTAATCACGTGTTGAGATTAAACGTTAAGTTGAGCGAGGTTCTACTTTTTGCGCTTACGTGCGACCTTTCATAAATTGCCTCTATTTTATTTGCGAACGTAAATTTTACACACGTACGCACGTAAAACTTACGCGACAGTGGAAATCAACCCTAACAAGTCAAACGTTTCAATGGAACTCCTCAGCAATGTTTCTGATCTGGCCTTAGCCTTATCTTGATCTTTTGTGACTTGTGCATGTAACTACACTTTTGCTTGATTTGTATTTCAGGAAGGGGGAAGTATAAACAAGTCCTTGCACACTCTCGGTAAAGTGATCTCGCTGCTGTCTGACAGAGAAACCCATACAAAAAAGAAATTATACATTCCTTACAGAGATTCCACCCTAACTTGGTGAGTAAACTAAAGCGCTCAAGCGTAATGTTTTCATCTGAAAATAATCCGCTTGTTAAGAACTGACCTAAATTCATGTCATCCTAATTTGCCGCTAATTCCCTGGTAGCAGGGAGTGCCCCTAAAGGTGCCGTAATCTTGGAGACGAACCCGTGCAAGTTTTCGCGCAACATTGTTATTCTACGTGTTTAATGGCCCATAGCGATGTCTCTTGTTTCACCACCCGTTCGCTCCGCGCTCAACTCGGTGAGCAACATCTTGTTGCGGCAACGTTTCGCAGAGAGGAGGAGAGCCATGTACTTTGCGCAACAAACACTACAACCTGAAACAAAGGCGAGGCATTCTCGCGCCGTTGGTCTGTGCGAAAAGTTGTACGAGTCCATTGCCCGTATTACTGCGTTAAAATAGAAACATGTGCTTGTGGTTACAACATATTAGGAACGAATAATTCCCCGAAATGAATATTTAGCCGGCTTAAAAATGAATGTTAGTTAAATAATACAGGGAATGCGATTGTAGGTGTATTTCTTTGTAACTGACGTGTTTTGTTTTTTAGATATGGTGATAATGCTTAGCCTGTTAATGTTGTTATTCACATATAATTTTATTTTTCTTTCAGGTTGTTAAAAGATAGTTTGGGAGGCAACGCCAAAACAACAATGATTGCTAACATTAGTCCTGCAAGTATATCATTTGGAGAATCTCTAAGCACACTACGATATCCTTTTACAAACCAGTTTATCACTTGTCGAGTAAACGATGTAGATACGCTTGTAGGAAAAAGACATAATGTAAAGACGTCCTTCCAATATCGCATTGTGCACAAGCCTTTTTCCAGATCAGTACTTAAGCGTACTCAGGTTATTTGCCGTTTTCCATTATTCACATGATGAAGTCTTTGATTTTTCTTGACCATTAACAAATATGCTCAAAGAGCCCGTACGATTGTCAACCGAGCAATTATCAATGAAGATCCAAATGCAAAGATCATCAGAGGTTTGTTGCATTTATTTTAATCTCTCTAATCTCATTCTCTCCATCCGAATAATTAGCTGGGCTGACAGCAAGGGCTGAGGATTTCCCCTGGCTTTTATATGTATAACTCCCGGTTACTTCCAGAAAACAAAAGGAAAATTCATAGAACCAAAAGAACTTCTAGCTGTTCAAATCCCTGCGTACTATTAACTGCATAAACCTGGCAACTCCGGCGAAATCTTACTGACTCTTACTTTCACTTGATAACAAACCGCTCTTGATTGTAAACTAAAATGTAACCAATGCCCAAGGTATATCGTTCAGATTTCAGACTTGCGCTTTTTTTTGGTGACCGTAAACTCACTGTAAACTAGCTTAAGATCAAAACCACGTGATCTTTCAGACAAAACAGTGGTTCTAACAATCCTTATGATCTAAATTTGTAAACATGGATTGTCTAAGACGCCGTCAAATTAAACAACGCTCTCCACCTTCCTATGTTTCAAAAGGGGGTTATAAGAAAACCTAGACATCTCTTTTTTTCTTTTTTCTAGAGTTAAAAGCCGAGATAGAGAGACTGAAACTCAGTGAGGGAAACCAAGAGATAAGTGCTAGAGCCTTGGCAGAAGTTGCTCTCTTGAGAGATAAACTTAAAGAAACCCAGCGCATGCTGGCCGAATCAACTCGGTAAGTGTTGTATGAAACCCAACTACACAATCACTGGCAAGTCCCAGTGCTGTAAAAAAGATAACGTGAAGTCCGTGAAAATAAGTATAAAAGCATCCTCCTTGTAATAAAGCTTAATAAGATTGAATATTAAACCAGGAGCTAACTAAAGCAACAGTGTATGACTTCCCTTTTTTGTTAGAAACTGGCAAGAAAAACTTGCATTGACAGAGAAGAGGAAATTGGAAGAGGCAGAAAAACTCAAGGTAATGGAAAATACAAAAAACGTGTGCTAGACACGCACAGTTTTTGTTTGATGTTGGATCGTGCAAAATATCACCAGAAGCGTTTTCTTTGTCGTTTTCTCATGCCATGTTATCCTTCCTCTTGCAGAAAGCAGGCATTTCTTTCAAGGTGGACAACAGGCTACCGAATCTGGTAAATTTAAACGAAGACCCCCAGTTGTCGGAAATGTTGTTGTATATGCTTAAAGAAGGTAATGTGTTTTACAGTGTCTTTGGTACAACATTTCTGCCCCCTGCTACTGTACTATTCCCGGCACAGGGTTAAACATTGCACCTCATCTGACTTAATTGAAAAGCCGCATTTTTTAAGAATGCTTTCATTAAAATTCATGAAAGACATCATTGTTTTGTTTTTCTTTTCAGGGGAGACAACGGTGGGACAGAATGATCATGATATTAAACTGAATGGAGCGCTTGTTGCAGAGACACACTGGTGAGCATTCAAGATGTAATTCATGAAAATAGCTTTTGGTCTTTGTGTTCTGTGAGCGGAGGAAGACCTCAGACAAGAAGGAAAGGAGAGAAATAGTCGCTGTCAAACCAAACATAACTCCTTTGCGCCTTGTGTATTGTGCGACGTTTATGATGTTTCTTAACACGTTCAGTTGGTAACAAACAGCTGTTTTCTCTTTATTTCAGTGTCTTGCGAAATGACGGAGAGAGGGTTACAGTTTCGCCAATAGGTAGGTGGTTGTTTGTTGTGTGCACCCTGAAAAGCAGGCACTCAATAATTTGGGAGGCAATGGAATGGAAAGTTTAACCGCGAACTCAACCCTTCTTCACAGCTCCGCCTTTTTTCGAAACCAATATGGATTAAAACACAGTTAGAGTTCCTTTAGTTATCGACGATATAAATGTTTCTCTATAATAAAAAAAATGTAAATCAAACAAAATCGTCATTTAAGACAAATTCTATAGATATTTAAACAACTTTTAAGCATGGTGTTGACTCTATGTCTTCTTGCAGGCGATGCGCCGACATATGTTAACGGTCAGCTGATTGCAGAGGAGACAGTACTTCATCATGTAAGTGAATAAATGAAATCTCCTTACAAATACAAGAATGGTCAATTGGCATCGAGAACAGCAGAACAGAGAACATTATCCTGAGTAGCCTGCTTGCCGGCTAGATCGTTAGCGAGAGAAAAGGTTTGGCAGAGGTGCTACGAAGTCTTGCGGAGAACGGGGATGAAATGCTTTTCTCGCGCGCTCTTCGGCGCGTTCTAGCGGCTTCGCGCAAAAATGTTCCACCAGCTGCACGGGCTATATCCTGTTTGCCTCTTGCTTCTGTATGGGGTACCGGTGGGTACCGGCAATTTATCTGGCAGATAAGACAAGAAAAAAATGCTTTACTACATGGTAATATGGTATAAAAGGTTTATGTTTAATGTTTTGCTTTTGTTTTCCTCGCAGGCTGACCGTGTTGTTATTGGAGGTGATCACTTTTTCAGGTGCCGTAAACGTTTAAAACTTGTTTTAATATTCCTGTCCCTTTCTTTCTCTATTTTTACTTCACTTTAGATTGTCCTAATTGAATTGCATTATTCGAGGGGGATGTCACGGGTGGTGATTTTAAATCGCAATGAAAAAGATTTGGGCTAATTTCTCTTTCCATTGCTTAATCATTACAGGTTGAACCATCCTGTTGAATTGAAAAAGCGACGAAAAACTAGTCAAAGTGTGGCTGTAGAAAGCGGTGATCCTGAAATTGCGGTGGCCAAGGATTACGAATTCGCGCGTAACGAACTGGCTCAAGCACAAGATGCCAGGTAAAAGAAGAATGAGAAAATTGCAATGCTTTAGTAATGATAAAAATGCATTTGAACGAAACTAAAACACTGACTGGCTGGAGTTAAGAGCAGTCGACTATTATGAACTTGAAAAAGAAATCTTGTCAATAAAGGGTTTTTTATATAGCTAAATGATTACACCAATAAGGAAACTCGTCTTGCCTCATCATTCACTTTCGTCACATAAGGTGATTCAGCAATACTTGACAAACTGTAAATCGGTAGCTTTCTAAAAAGTTGGTTAAATTATTCATTCGAAGCCGGGCATTGTAGTTTATATGCAATCAAAATGACCGAACCTTTTTGTTATTCTTTTAGATTGGGGTTTAAGGTATCTGCCTTCAGCATAAATGTTCGTTGGGGGTGAGGTTGAGGCTAGCCCATCCTTGCTTGTCAAGGGCTGTCAACCTTAACGCCCCGACAATTATAATTATCGTTCCGTATTTTTCACTGCAGACTTCGGGCTGAACTGGAAGAAGCCAGGGAAGAAGCACGAATCAAAGCTCAGGAAGAGATAGTGATCAGAATACAGGAAGCCAAGGTTAGAAGTTATTGCCGTATCATTAAACTCATTAACCAGAAATCTCTGCCTCCTAAATGAGGATTTCCACTTAATGTTTAAATCCAAGCAGAATGTATTGGGAGCGGAGTCTTAGCAATAAAGACATAGTTTTTTTTTTCATATCACTTTTGGTTTTTTTGTTTGTACACAGGATGCCGCCCAACAAGAATTGAATGAACAAAAACAGCAATATGAAGAAAAAGTCACACATCTACATGAAGCTATGGTATTAGAGGCTTTTGTCCATTTGGAGCTGATAAGTGTTTGTCATAGTGGAGTGTGAATCAATAAATTCAGCGAACGATCAATTTATCAGTTATTCAGCTACTGAAACAGATCAATCAATATCTTATCGCCTGGACCGAGTTACAACAAGATAATTTGTCCCCTAACTTTAAAATCTGTGGATGAAATTCTGTTGTGTTACCATTCAAATGAAACCTCTTCAGCAGCACTTTCACATGGTACTGTTTATTTAGTATGTAGTTCTAACTTTTGAGTCTGTGGATGAAATCCAAGGGTGTTGCCATTCAAATGAAACCTCTTCAGCGGTACTTTCGTATGCTACCATTTATTTAGTATGTTTTTCTAACTTTGAAATCTGTGGATGAAATCCTGTAGTGTTGGTATTTAAGTGAAACCTTTCTGGCAGAACTTTGGCAAACGAATAATCTTTTGTTAGGATTTTACAGAAAGAAGTTTGATTGGCTGAAAGGGTTAATTAACCTTGTCAAGTAGGCTTTGCTTCATACAGTCCAGTTTAGAACGGATCCACCGCCAGCATGTTTGTCAAACGACATCCAACATCGTTAGGTGGTGTTGGATACGGCCTAAACGTTTTAGCTCATTAAAACCTGATCTAACATTATCTAACAAAATCCTACACCGCCCAAGAAGGAGTTCAAACGAACGCAAAATGGGGGCGCTACGTTCACTTACATCACACATATGATTGATCCTATAATACCGCTGGAAGGCTTCAATTAAAGAAAGAGCAATTTCCTTAGGAATTCCTCATGTACGGACACGGGTGCTGGCAGCAGTGTTTTGAGAAAAAAAAAACGTCACTTTGAATTGATACCTTTTTATGTAGTACTGTTGTATTAATTAGCATTTTTTCTGTTGACAGGAAAGTCTCTCGACAGAAAAGAAAGAAGCTGAGCAGTCGAAACAAACAGCCGTGGAAAAGATTTCAGAACTGCAAGCGCACAGGCTTGTAAGTTTGGCTTTTAATCATATAACTCTTGAATTTTTTTAAAAAGGAAAGCTCATGCTCAAATGCGGCTGATCTTATATTTTATGCCATATTTTTTCTCAGCTCTTGGAGCAAGAGATCCTAAACAACCGGAAAAGGCTACAAATGGAAGCACTCGCTGCCAAACAGGTCAGTCGAAAGTCTGCAGAGTTTTGATTCTAAGACTTTGACTGGTACAGTCAAAACTTTATGATAGACTATAAACAACATGACTTTAAAATCTGTTAGTTAGCATCTATAACTTTTAACATTCAAATTCTTTCATTACATTTCGCCTCACTGTTGTTGAGAACAATCCTGTGATTAAAGTACTTAAAAGCTGAGATGTGATTTTCACTTTCTTGGTTTGGACAAGAGATCATAACAAGAAGCATGTGTGCGACGCATTTTAGACGTTAATTCCATATGGAGCAGTTTGTTTCGTAAAATTAAAAGTGTTTTTAAATTCTGTACAGGCTTTGGAGGAAACGAAAATGAACCAAGTTCGGATTATCTCTGAGTTGGAAAAAGAAAAGAAGAAAATGCAAGAAGATGTATCGAAACTTAAGGAAGCTAAGGTAACGTATTTCACATAGGCTGTCGATCTGTTTTTCCTTTGAAGTCTTCAGCGAACCTTCTCGAACACTGTAAGATTGTTGTTCTTGTTTACATTTTTTCAGCAAAACCGCGTAAAGATAAGGGAGGAGTTCCGGGCCTCTTTTAACAACATTGGAAGGAAAAATTCCTTAGCAGGTAGGGTTCTAATCTCATTTTCTAATTTGAGTTACAATCGTCTTGATGTGTAGAACTCCTTTCTAGGCTACTGCTAATAATAACAATAATTCCGTTATTTACCCTCGGCAGTATTTATAGCACTAATGTTAGTGGTGCCGAACAAATGCCTGAAACAAATAATTTGAAGGATCCAGAGGCAAACCAGCGGGATCAGTTTACAAGCATGGCCGAGGATTTGAGCTCGGAACTACCGAGAACAAATCCAGCTAGCGGTCAGAGCGGGACTTGGACACGGAGCCTCCGAATTACAAGTCCGACGCTCTAACCACTCGGCCACGCTGCCTCCTGCTGTGTTGTCTAGTCGAACTTCCTTTTAAAGGTAGGCCCCTGTCCTTCGTAGGGGGGCTTAGGATGAAGGGAGATAGAGAGAAAAAAGGAAGTGGAAAGAAAAAGGAAGAGAAGGCTCAATTTCGATTGTTTTGTTAATTCTGGTCTTTAAATCGATAATAGGGTGAGGACTGAGGGCTCATTTCCCGACCAGCGGCTTGTAATCGACCCTATGCTCATAGTGGTCTTATTAGTAATAATTAATAATAATAATAATAATAATAATAATAATAATAATAATAATAATAATAATAATAATAATAATAATAATAATAATTCCGTTATTTACCCTCGGCAGTATTTATAGCGCTAATGCTAGTGGGCCGAGCAAATGCTTGAAACAAGTGATTCAAATTGAACTTAACAGGGTTAAGAATCCAACTGACCGGAGGCAAACCAGCTAGCTATTCACAAGCATGGTCGAGGATTTGAACTCGGGACTACCGTGAACAAATCCAGCTAGCGGTCAGTGCGAGACTTGAACTCGGGGCCTCCGAGTTGCAAATCCAGCGCTCTAACCGCTCGGCCTACGCTGCCTCTTACACGGCTGCCTCCTAGTACCCTATCAACTTCTCCTTTATCGCTACACCTTGTTGTTGTTGTTTTTTAACTCGCTGGAAAAACAACCAGTAAAAAGCGTCTTGTGTATGATGCGTCGGCTTTCAACGAGCGTCACTGTTGTAGAATGAAGTTAACTCACTTAAATAACGGTTTTATATAAGAAATGTAGAAGATTTTTTCAATTTGCAGATGATCCGAACAAAAGGGAGCTGTTGCGTATCACAATGTCGTTAAGGGAGGCGAACAAGATTAGCCAGAGTTTAGGAAAGCCCATTGTAAGTTTAAAGTTAGTATATTTCATAATTTGGCACCTTTTTTTACGTTATGTCCAAATCCAGGGTTCGATATAATTCAAATTTACTGGCGGTTAATTAGCGATATTCATTAAGGATCATCTTTTTTTGCAGACGTTTAGTCGGGACGATGTCTTTGTTGACGGCAAGGTAATCAGCATTTTACATATTTCACTATTTCAGCACTTTTTATGGGCCCATTTTAGTGATTTTCACAGTAACGTTTACGTGGTTGACTGACCGAGCATTCCATCTACAAAATCATTCAATTGTTTTATTAATCGCAACCGTAACATTAGACTCGTCATACTGAAACTGTGATCGATGACGCATGAACGTAAGTTTGTTTTTCCTTTTTGATAGTCGGAATTGAAGATTCGTTTAAACAACACGAAGAAGGGCCTGACAACGCTATGGTCACTTGAGAAGTTTGAAAGCAGTATGGAGCAGATGAGGGAATTGTATCAGGTATGAGACGCTCATCTTCTTTAAGGGAGATATATGTGCGTCCGTCCATCAGCGCTGATTTGACTGGATGTTTCCTCTTCCTTTCCTCTCAACAGCAACGAGACAATGACAGTGTGTCGGGAGAGTCTGGAGACGAGTTTGATCCCTTCAACGATCCGGATGATAAATGGGAGAAAGACTTTAAACTGGACTCTCCAAGTAACAGGTTTGCGATTCACATGTTATTTAGTTTTGTACCCCTTTATATTTAGATTTAGCGTGTATTTTTAGAAATTTAAGAACCCATCACAGTCACAGGACAACCAGTAGCTGCAGTTAACCCTTCCGGACAAGACGATGCTGCAAACCGTTTTCCAATCTAAGTCATTCATTGCTGCTATCTTTGTTACTTCACAGACGTATTTCATCTTTGAGCAGCTCCGGTCTGTCATCTCGTACCAGATCATCAACAGGCAGTAAACCGCAAGGTACGTCATGAAATACATACTCAAATGTCGTGTAAATGTATGTCTTTGTCTCGCAGTGAGAGACAAAGTATTGAAATAAGTAGGTTGTCTACATCTACAGAGTCCGGCCCTCACCCAGCATCAACCAAACGAGACGTGACATTTTTACGGGCGAAATCTTTGCATGGAAAGATTATGACAAGAAGGGAAAAACTCTTGGACTGACTTACTCAACACCGTAAATCCTAGATTATGTAAAAATATTAGAATAGGTGATACTTCAATTTTGATACTTAGATTGTTTGAATTCTGCGTGGTATTTATAACTTTCCATGGCTGCAGATGGCAACCATGAAGTGGATTGAAGCTTAATATAATTAGTTATATGTTTCAGAAGGACTTTAGTGGCTGTAAATTGTTTGGTTTCAGCACTGGAAGTAGTTTACGTTATATACCTTGTCGTGATTTTCAAATAGCGTTTTGTTTTTTAAAAAAGTATTTGACGATCATTGTAGCACAGCGTTTATCGAAAACAAATTACTCGTAGAAACAGCCCTTTTGATGGTTGATGACTATCGAAATAAAATATGATACGTTTAAGCCACCATAAAACAAACTTTTTTATTGTTCGTAGGATTTAACACCGACAAAGCGGAGAGCATATTTGCCAAGTATCGTAACCAGCAAAACCAGAGCCCGTCCTCTGACGCACCCGAGGTACCTTCAGCGGAGACAGGGACATTATCTGAGAGGCCTGCTGAAGTGTTATCAAGTAGACCCCCTAAAGCTCCTTCAAGTAGGCGACGTAAGCACCATATTTCCTGTCGTTCCTTCTTAACTTAACCTGGCAATCTGCTGACCATACAAGTATTCCAAGTAGTTAAGAGATATCACCCCTGCTTTAGCCTCGAATCCAAGCTACATTGTAATTCCATGTCACTGCCGAAAAGAAATGGTGATCGGTTAGCTCGGGCTTTGAACTTAAACCCAATGTTTGAAAAAACTACTACAGAGGGACAGTATACCATTGGACTTGCTCTGTTTATGAACATGACCAAGGGCTTTAACAGTTGTTGCGTTTTTCTTTTTTCTGGGGCTACATATTTCTCGATACCTTAGAGAGATAAAGTTTATTTTCATGAACCGGAAATCTGTGCAGTTTTACGTCTTCAATACTCATCAGAAAGATACGAAGAAGTACTTTTGCACTTACTAAGAGTTGGAAATGTTATGTATTTAATTCTAGAGAGCGTAACACGACGATCAGGCCCGTCTGTGCCAATGCTGTGTAGAGAGTCAGTGAAGAATTACGTGGAATCGTTAAAAGGTATAGTGTTCTCTAAAACAACCGCCAAAGCTGCCTTTCAATCTAAACATTGCGGCTATTTCAGTTCGCTCTTATGTGTTATTTGTTTTAACTGAATTGATTTATCCAATAAGACACCTTCAAGATAAGCACTAAAAAATGAATAAATGATAATTCAGAAGTGGCACATTTACAAAGTGATTCTTCGTGGACCGTTTCCGAAAGAACTGGAATTACGAAATGTTGGTTTTGAGGAAATGGCAAGAACGGTATACCCAGAAAAAAAACATCTCGGAGCAAGAGCGAAAACCAACAACAAACTCGTGTAAGGTATGGCGTCACTTCCGGGATTCGAACCCAGGCCATATTTGTGGGAGGCGAGTGCTCTCACCACTGAACCCTTAGCGTTCCTTGGTTCTTCTTTTACCTCGCAAAGCTTGCTATTTGGTGATGTCGCTTCTTAATTGCCAGTCTAAGCTTAACCTGGGGAAAAACCTTTTGTGCAGTCGGTTACAGGCACTTTTGGAATGTATGTGTGTGTGTTTTTTAATTGCAGAGCTGTCAGATCCCTTTAATGAGCCATTGTTTGAGAAAGTTTTAAGAAGCGTAAAAGATCTAAAAACCAGCGTAACGGCAATCAGGAAAACCCTTCAAAACAAAACGGCTGGCGGTACAGAAGGTAAGAATACTTAATAATCCAACTAGGAATTCTCTTGTCGTTAAGAAAACAATTCTCGTGATTAAAAACCCCCTCAATTTCAAAATGAGGCCAGGTGCAAAACAGTTCTTGTGAAATGGGGTTTATTTGCGCCGAGAATAAAAATTCAGTGTCAAAGACTTTGCTCTTAACCAGGGCAACTCGCAAGTGGCCTGTAGGCCATCTCCGAGTTTCAAAAACCCTCACTTTCAAAACGAGGCCAAGTGCCTCTGTTGAGTTTAATTTGCTCGAGAATGAAAAATCATGTTCATTTCACTGGCTTCTTACTTAGCCCACTTTGAAACAGAAGCTTTCGCAACTGGGAAGTGGCCAATTTTTTCACTCGCATTCTGTGTTTTGATAAGTAAAGACAGACATGAAATTTTAATCTCGACAGCACTTGTTGTTGCTACAGATACCATATCCTTGCTTTTAACTTTACCTTCCCTTGCAGATATACCGAAGGAAGCTCATCAGTGTTGTCTGTCTGCCACCTTTAGCTTGCAATTGCTAATCGAACAAGCGCGGATATGGGGAACCTTAGAAAATCAAAATAACCAGTTTAAAGACCTCGGTTGTCTAATGGTTGATACTGTGAAGCGCCTGGCTAACTGCGTCACCGCCATTATCGAGGTATGTGTTGAGGCAAACTGTTTCTGAAGACGTTTGTAGAGTATGAAGACAGATTACCCACCCGCTTTTTTTTTGACAACTTGTTCTCAGGGGGATTTTATCTTTTGCTTAATTAATTAATAGGTTTTCATCGTCATCTATTGAAGATTAATAATACCCCTAGTTTTGTAGCTTCAAGCGCTCCTAATGGGTTTGGGGAGAAAGAAGGGAAGTTTCGCTTCTCTCTTCCTCCTTTTCCCCCAAAAGGACTGATACTCAGGCCCCTAGTTTTGTTGCCGAGAATACATTGTTTGTTCTCCGAAATTCATAATAGTTTTTTTCGTCAGCGGATCTATTTTGGATAGAAACGTATTGAGACGGATTGCGTGATTAAACGCGCTCGCTAGATTTAAAAAGAAAGTAATCATTATGTGATGTGAACTCGTTAAGTTGTGAGAGATTCAACTTTTGGTTCCTGTTAGTTTCGAACGCCAAATCATTTTTTTCTTGCTCGTAGGGGGTTTAAGAGCAATAAGCGTTTGTATTTAAATTGAAGCTCTTAACTTAAAAAACAATAAGTATCCGTGGCTTTACTGATACCTTCGTTTATTTGTTGTGGCCGCTGTATTTTGTTTTTACTGATGTAGACTCTTGAAGGCTCCAATTCAGACATGGACGAGCTTTTCACGGACTTTGGTGAAGACGTAAAGCACTTAGTACGTCACATAGCTAAGATGGCGGTTGTCTCATCGCAAGAGGAACAACTGTCGACTGGAGATACTCTTAACTCGGTAGGTCTATTTATTCACACACTTGACCGATATTTCCACGATTTATTGTTCGGGTGTAGCCAGTTGGTCGCTTTTGTCATAACCGATTCGTGTGATGCATTCCAAGGCTGAGTATGGTGACCAACTGATTCAAGTCACAAACATTGATGGAATCTGTGGCTGTTCAATCAACTAAGTCATATTAATAATTTATTGTAGTTAAGCTTCATAGTAAGTTGTGGATTAAAAATATTACGGTATGATTATTCACATAAAATACAAGCTATGGTGGTTATTCTAACATTTGAGTCTTTATAGAACAAAATACAGTATGTGACCGTATTGTTTTGCTTTGAGTTGTGAATGTGGTTATATATTTCATTGAAAAAAGAGATAATCCAGATAAATAGAACGAATTCGAATTGTATATGGGTTGTTTGTTTTAGACGGACGATGACATCGAGCTAAACAAAGCTTTCGTGGAGGGGCAAGATATGTCCATGGAAATATCTGTACGCGACTCCATTTCCGCCATCTCAGAAATACAAGAACACCTACAAACGGACACTTTAGAATCCTTTAGTACTGGGGTGCGTAGCAAACCAGATTTTCTGGTCTTGTAGTGTTTCATTTCGTTTTTTGTTGTTCTTACTTCCCTTAATGACTGTAGAAACTAGTGCATTAGCACAGATTTCGCACGTTTGTAGCTCAAGGTCTGGCTTAACTGCCTTACCACCTGCCTTTCCACCCTTCTATTTGCATGGGCCTATCTAACTAGGAGATCCTAATCCAACGTTAACACTAACTTCTCACTAAGGGCAAAATGTTGGGCTAGGGGAGGAGTGGGTGGATAGTTTCCCAGAATCTTAAACCTACCCTTCAATCCTCCTACCCATCTATAATGTACGCACTTCCATTCTATTCCTTGGTCCTTTCCTGCGAACCACCTAACTACATTCGGGTCCCTCTCTCTTACTGCCCACCTGCCTATCTCCATACGCTTACCTACTCAACACACCCACTACACACTCCTCCCCTCCATGTCATTCCGTATCACTTTTCTACCACTGTATATCTACCTAACCTGTTTACTTGATTGTCACTGAACATGCTTTTGCAAGCTTTTTCTCCAAAATAACGATAACACAAGAGCTTTTCCATCACCGTTTCTGCTTTTTTGCATTTGTTTATTAAGCTTACTCTTTTTAATTTTTTGTAAAAGAAATAAGTCTCATGAACTTGACTTGACTTCACACGTTTTCCTTTTTTAAGGTTGAGCGAGAAATTTCCGACAATGTCCTCGACCTTGTACGAACCACTGGAGATTTTATTCATCAAAGTCGTGAAGTACAGGTAAGAGACCAGCTATTATTCTGGTAGCTTTCCTAACGTCGGTTCTTTCTCGAAAATCTTCGAATTTTTGGAAAGTGACGTCAGTATCGGGCGATAGATAGATAGATCTAGCGATATAACCTCTTCTATTAATTGGCGTTATATTTGTCGAAGTTTTGATATTGTTGTCGTTTATTTACAGATGCAGCTTATTTCTACTTCAAGTGAAAACAGCAGAAAAAAGGAATCAGGAAGAAGTCGATTAAATTCTGTGAAGAATTTCGTGAGCAGTGTAAACACGCTGCTGCAAAAAACAAGAGATTTGGCGTCGAATGTGCGTCAAGCATGCGAAGATATGGACCTTGAAAAACTTGTTTCGTTACCTGAAGAAATATCAACATCGGCGACAAATATTGTGCGGCAGAAAAGTGCTTTTATTGAGGCTGGGTACTCAGCTGCGGTTGGGAGTAATCAGAACATTTTGGACGAAATGGAATATTTAGAAAAGAAATGTAACGATGTTGAATTAGCAGCAGGTGATTTGAGACGAACATTAACAAGATTTCTATTTCTCAGTCCACCAAAGTCCTTGCAGAAAAAACACACATGTAGAGTTTTAGGGACTGGAGACGAGCTTTCAAAAGATGTAACCAGGACTCCTCTGTCAGCTCGACAAGAAACGAGAAGTGTACGGAAACTTTGGAGCAAAGAATCGCCAATTTGAAAAGAAAATTTTACAAAAATGTGTGTAATACATATAGGTAGCTATTTTTTTTGTGATAAGTTTTGTTGTTTTTGTGTGTTTTGCTCTTTGATCAATCCTGTGTGTCCCGTCTTTCTTTGTCGCATCAAATGCGATTTAAAAACTAACTCAAGATAAGAGAAATTCAAAGTCTTCCCAGTCTTTTATGGCGGCCGGGCTGTAAGTTGATTGTGTCATTGGCCTTTTTCATAGTGGCGGACTATTAATATATTCTTTTATAAGTATGATAATGAATAAGCCAACATGTGCAAAATGGAAAAGAATTCTTACTTTCAAACGAGACCAGAAACGCTCATTTATATACATATGAAAGAATAAATATGGGCCACCATTATTGAAGAGGTCTATGGGTGAATACGTCATTATAGCTCCCAATACATGACGCATATACCTTGTCTTAGCGTTTACCCGCTGGCTAAGATGATTGCAGACTCCAATTGCGAGAGAAGTAGTTGAAAAACCAAAGTTTATGCTATTCCTCGCCTTAATTAAAGGCGTTCCTACAAGCCCACTAGCGGCTGAGCCGTCCTATGGAGATTCCCAACAGATTTGTAATGTAAGGTCGAACTCCCTCTCAGAAAAGCCTCTTTATTACGGACTAATAAACAGGACATACCTGCAGAGTGCGGACACTAGGCTTGGTCGTTTTGATATTCTCAATTGTCTTGTGAAACAGCAAACACCATTCTTGGTTTGCAACCACTTGACAAGACGGCTGTGTCGGTTAGGTCATTTGCACGATGGGGTCATTTTAAAACTGCGACCAGAATCCCTTACGTTTTTCCTTTCATATGTAAATTTGGTAATCCCAACGAGATATAAATAACAAAAGCCTTCATTTGCACAATAAAGCAAAACGCTGAAGGACTCTGGTCATAGTAGTAAAATGACGTCACCATGCAAATGA